GATAACAAGTACATGAACGATTCTTCCAAGCAAACTTCTCAAAGAACCTACTTGTCGTTTTTCGTATTTCATAATCATGCACGGCTCAACCAATGAATCGAGTTTTTATCTCCTCAATCTCCTTCTGAGTTCACAAATTTAAGACCGCTTTAAGAGAAAATAACCTTATATTTACACGCATTTCCCAAACAAGAAAATAATAGAACTGTAGTTTATAGAAATGGCTGTTTTACGAACTCTTTACATTTGGGCAATCAGAAACACAAAAAAATATTGCGCAAATATATGCCCCATGATATGTTTCCACACTCTTCCTCTTCTTTGAATTTTTATTCTTATTATTATCATTTCATTTTATTTATTTTGTTTAATTTTAAAGACGGCGATAACAGTAAAATACCTTTTTTTGGACGGCAGGCAACCGAAAAGTGTACTGAAATGGAAAAGAGTTTATTATTATTGGAAGGTTACAACTTTCAAAGAAATCTTTCCACGAGAGTAAAAAATTCCCTGCCTTAATTGAGGCTGAATCACACTGACAAAACCTAATAATCCCATAAACGACTGCGCGCCTTTTCTGGTTCCCAGGTCATCTCTGTATTATAAAAAAGAAAAAAAGAAAAAGAAAAAAAAGAATGAGAAAAAGAGAGAAAAAAAGAAGAACAAGATGTGGCCCATTCAGCCTTGGCCTAAGAACTGGCAGTGTGGTATGAAAATAAAAGGTGGGATCAATTCTAAGGAAAATGGGGACCCATTCAAAGTATACTAGACTTAAAACACTCAATTTCTAATAAGTTTGTTCCTACACGGAACTATTTCAAAGGAAATTGGAAATAAAAACATGTCTGACCCGTACGTACCCAGTCGTTATTTATGTGTTTTTTGGGGTGAGAGGAGATTGGGGGTTAAGGTTGAGCTGAGGCGCGCGCGGGGAATCATGAGAAGGTACGAAGGAAAAAACCTTCCCATGAGACCTCGCACGCCTCAACCTAACCCCAAATTTTCTCTCACCCTAAAAACACATGTAAATAGCGACTGGGTACGAGTCTGAAAACATGTAACACTTTAAGATGCACGGCAGCTTCGTCATTATAAGCAAAGGCTGATAATTATAATACGCGACACATATGCACCTTATTTTTAAATATATAATATAATATATAGGAATGTTGTTTTTTTCGGCCCAGGCTGAATATTCTAACTGAATTTTCTGCTGATTTCATCCTGAAAATATTCTTGCATTATTGTTAGATTATAATCAGATTAAGAAGGAGTTTCGCTTTTTTTTTTTTTGCGGTCTGTTTATTATTATTATATAGTACTTTAAATCACGGCTAATATGAAGTCCAAAGGGACCGATCGTTTATAACGTCCTGGGTTGGGGGAAGGAAGGGTTGGAGGGGGGGTACAATCTTCTAAGAGGCTCGATTTTGTGGGAGGGGGATTTTTTTTGTCTTTTAGTGCCATATCAGATCTTAAATTAAATAAGAAAAAAACGAAAGCAATGTGGATTAGTTCAGCCAAAAAAAATGAAACTAAACCTCCAGGTTTTAAACCTTTAGGAATAAATCTATCATACAAACATGAAAAGAACGACAACTTAAATCTCTTTATACATAACATAGCTAGAAAATTCCCCTAATCAAATTCAATAGCGCGAGTGTGCTTCATATTCCTATTGAACACGCTGATGACATCAGTAACCTAGCAATCCTGAGTCCGCCTGAGTGCATCCATAACTCGGCAGTACACGATAAAGCGTTTACCATGTGTTTTATAAGGTAATTTAAGAGGAAACGTTTGAATTTGTTAACCGATAGTAAGGAAAAGAGGTGAGTGTTGTTGTTTTTGTTTTTGTCATCTCCGCGAGCTGTGCGGGCTATGGCGTGAGCCTGATCATTCTTTGCAAAGTTGTTTTCCCTCAATAACAATTTTTCGGTGATTTAATAGTTTTCCGCACCTAAATATGGATTTTATAATCATTTTAGAGTACACTTTCTCTCAGTTTCAGGATAAAAACATAACCTTAACTGTGAGGAAAAAAATATACTGACGTAAACATTGACGCGTACTGCTTTGAGCGCGCACTACAATAATAAAATTTTAAGTTAACTGATGCATTGGTCGCTTTGATAATGTTATAAAGCAATTAGTTCATGCTGCAGCTGTGCGTATGTCGAGATATTGAGCACTTGGGAAGTTTGGAGAGCACTCAAGAGGCTAGAGTTGCACTCGGCTGCGCCTCGTGCAACTCTTACGCCTCTTCTTTCGTGCTCTCCAAACTTCCCACGTGCTCAATATCTCGACATACGCACGCTGACGCATGAACTAATTGTTAATTATCAAAATTAACAAAATGGACATCACGATCAAGCTGAATATATGACAAACAAGAGACCTAACTTTATTTGGACGCACAATGTTGGTTAAGACCCTGGGCTTATCCAAATTAGTTTATGCAGCCTCTATGGTGCGTTTTCCTGAAATGGTTATCAAACTGGGGTACGAGAAAAAATAACAAAATTTTTGCGAAAAAAAAAATGATAAAATAAAAGATCTGTTATATATAAATCTCTGTTAAACGGTGGACTTAACTTTCGCACAGTGGTTAAATCTTTACGCTTAAGCTGGCTCGGCAGGTTGTTAAATCGAACAAATGAATCATGGCAAGCAATTCCAAATGACTCCTTTCACAGATATGGAGGGTTACGTTTTTTACTGAAGTGTAATTATCATTCTAAACTCTTAGACAAACAACCTCCTCAGTCTTTTGTAGTGAAATGTTGGATTATTTTAAGGAACTGCGTACAGGTCAGCCTGATGTCTATAGAAGTAAATTCATTCTTTGGAATGACAAAGAAACCACGATATAGAGAATAAATCTATATTTTGGTCTCATCTTTTTGAAAAGGAAGCTGTTTTGTTCAAGACTTATAAGACGAAAACGGAGTGGGGTAGAAATATTAAGACACAGGACTGGCCTGTTATGAAAAAGTTGTCAAACTATATTACGATTGAAGCAGATCCACGTTTCCTCCAAAAGTAGTAAAAAAAATTTACGTCGGCGGTTCTTTGTCAGCAACAAAATGTTACCCGAATAACGCTTGGCCCAGGAACCTATCAACTATTTCTATCATACTGTAGTTACTTTGGGGAAGGGTAAAGTTTTGATACACCACACTTTTCTGAAAACCTCCGCCCCCCACTGGGACGAAGTAAACGAACGGACGAACGGTCTCTAACAATTTCACACTGTTCCCAGTCTCCAGGGTCTGACGGTTAATACAGATAGCGTCAAACTCTGTCTCGTTCCTTGCATTTCCTTTCATTTAACAAAAATCCAGTAACGTCTGTAAACCTGAAGAAGGCTGGTATGGCCAGCTGAAATATTGTTATAAAAAACAATACACGTTGTTTCAAATCAGCTTTGCTGCAGTCTTCGGACTTCTCGCTCTTGTTTCTTTATATTTTGGCTGATTTGATCTCTTTTCTAGAGATCCAACGTTTACAACTAGCAGGATCTTCGTCCACGGTTTTTGCAGTTAATTTAATCCTTTAACAAAAATCCAGCATCCCTTGCTTTTCTTGCGAGATCGTCTACGTGTTGCTAAATTCAACTCTCCTAGCTTTTATCCTCGGGGAGGGTACTTCCTTATAAGAGGCTAATGGGGATATGCCGCTGGATGGGGTCACATTTTCACGACGGGATTGACTATAATAGGGTCGCACTTCCAATAGAGTTACTAGAATGGGGTCGAACATTTTCGGATTTTTGAGGTAAGACAGTTCTTTATATTTACGGTTAGCAAGCGTTTTAGAATGTTTGTACTGCAGAAGAAAAGTAAAGTGTTCTTCATTCAATCTAAAAATGGGTCAATTCATAAAAATAGAAAGTCAGTAGTATTTGCCCAAAAGTGACTAAGGTGGTGGGGTCTACAGTTGGCCACAGAATAGACTATAATGGCGTATGGGCTATTAGAGGCCAGCGGCACATACGCAGCAAAAATTAACCCAAGTCCTCCCCCGCCCCTTTCCGGGCCTTTATCTACCACCTCAGCCTTCGATTAGTCGTCTCAATTGCATTTTTTACATGGCTATTGCTCCACGGATACTCTCTGGGGAGCTGGCAACATGCTCAAACTCATACATTGTGGCAAAGGCTGATACTTTGTTTGAAAGTCTGGAAAGTATCTATTATTCTATGCTAAGCATGACGTCTCTTCACCTTTCCAGTCAACACAGCTCCTGTCTTTGGCTCAGATAAAAGGGGTTTTTTTATGTTGGGCAGGCTGAAAATGTGCTGCAAGCGCTTGCTGGTGTAATTTTGTAATTTTTAGATTTACTCTTGTTTCGACGTATTATCATTGTCACTGAAAAGCCCTCTTCACGGAGTGTCGATAAAGTTTGTATTGTTTTGCATTGTATTGTATTGTTGATTGATTGCTTGATTGATTGATTGATTGGTTGGTTGATGATTGATTGCTTGACCGATTGATGCAATAATCAATGTCCGCTACTAACGTTTGATTGCTGTCCCCACATTTCCTCTGGGCTTTCTCCCACGACCGAGTGGGTGAGTAAGGTCGTAGTTTACCTTGTACAACATTAACCTCGGGGAGAAGATTGAGATTCGCCAATATTAAAAGTGTAAGTGTGAGAAAAGAAGACGGGTAGAAATTATTTTAGTAATTTGATTATTTCTTTTAATACCAATGGGAGGTTACAATCTCATTACAGCTTAATAAATATTAAATAATATAACCGCCTTAATTACCATTTCTGGTGACAACAGTGTCTATAGCATCGATTTCTAATAACAATAATCAAAAATTAATAAATTATTAAAGTGAGACCATGTAAATACATTTTTACAATACGCAACAAACCAGTCGACAGAAAAATGCAATCTGTGAACATACCTTCTGGTGGGTTACAGGATGAATAAAACAAACGAGAAAGCGCGATCGGGGGAGAGGGCAAAGAGGAAGAAAGGGTGTCCTTCAGCGCGGTGATCCTTTGGCAGGCCGTTGACAGTCTACTGCAAATGTTAGTGGATCATCCCTATCTTTAAAGAAATACACTCTTTTAATTTCTTTACAACCCTCTGCACATATCACGGTGGGCACAACTGTTTCGCGGTCTATCAATTTGAGCTGGTATCTCTCTACACATGGGTTCGGTGTGGTGTTCCTCTTGAATCGGATTGCCTTATTCTGGCGTTTAGATGTTGCTCTTCGTCCCAGCGGTGTGCTTGTTCCGTCTGAGTGCAAAGCATTCTCGTCTCTATTGTCACTAACTGCCATGTCATCTTTTTCTTCTGGGGCAATAACGAGCAAGCCAGACTTCTCTTCAGCAGAGCCTTCAGAGATGCTTTGTTCCGTAGGGTTTATGTCTTGACGAATTTGCAACGTTGGAATTGTCGGTTTGCTTTCTGCTGAATTTCCATACAACGAGAAAACCAGTAGAAGAACAGCTGAGGTGGTGTAAATGACACTTTTCTAAAGGAGAAGAAAATTAAAAAGTCATTCGATAAGTACAAGTTTCCCCAATATGACCATTATGTAAACAAGTGAAACAATATACATCAAAATAACAAGCCAACAAACATGAAGAGAGCTAACAGGTTTAAAAACTTGAGGTTTTGAATTCTGGCCCTCTCTCAGAGCGACTCAAAGCCAGGGATTTTGGGTCTGTGTGGTTTATAGTTATCGTATGGTGGTAACATAAGAAACAAACAAACAAATAATTAGTTGAATGAAAAGAGACCGTGTCGCAGTTCATTATTTTTGCTTGAAGTAGTGTTAAGTTTCATGGAGACGCTCTGGAATATATATTTTTGTTGTTGTTGTTTAATTTATGTGTGTAATATTCCTTGCCAATGTTTTGCAAAACTCAGAGAAGGTAAATGGCTTAGTGCTCGAGGGGCCATGCGAGAGTTGATGAGTGTATTGCTGTCATACTGCAAAACGTAGTTTAGACGGACGACTAGCTCCTGCAAAAGTAGTCGTATGCTTAATTGCTTCTCTTTTTGCAGAATTTTTGAAAGAAGGGAAAACCCAATCACAATAAACGCGAAGTAAGAAAAAATATTTTTTAGACTTTGCCCTGAATCATCAATTTGCACTTACCTTTCTTTCGCAAAATGCCATTTTAGTCAATTAACCCGTCAGGCTAGTCGAGGTAGTTCGGTTGTCTTAATAACTCGAATATACTCAGAAGTGTTCTGTGTTCTTTCAACTCTCTGAATTTGACAGTCCAGAAAATCTGACTTTCTTTTATAGCTACACCGGGAACCTTGAACACCACTCGACTATTACTCCAAGACATTTTTAGCCAATTACGCCTTTCGTCCAGTTTAGTAGTTCAGCCATTTTCTAATGAAAGAAACTCTTTCCAGTTGATCTTCATGGATGGGAGTTACCTTCCTCTACTTAAGCAGAATGCGGATCTGAGTTGGAGCAAGTCATTGTTCTGTGTTCTATTTTCGATACCATTTGCACTTTCTTTAAATAATGCTTTTCATCCTCTTTAATGCAGTCCACGTGATAAGGCATCCTTCTTGTTTAATTGAGGAACTTGCTGCATCACTAGGCTGCAAGAATCAGTTTCTTCCGCCCAAATTGTGTAATTAACCTCACAGCGCATAGAGGGTGCTGATGAATTCACCGTCATATGGACATCAGGTGACATCACTTTTCTACGGTTCTTGAATTCTCCGCTTTTTGCTGGAGAGGTGTAAACGCTATTTTTTTTCTTTTCCTTGAAACAAACATACAACCAAAACTGAAAAATGAATAGATAATAACAACAAAAATGAGCTTATTTCTTCATATATTCTTGGACATTTTACGGGGTCATTTGGTATCCGTCATAACGGACTCTAAACTGGCCGGAAAAAAAGTAAAGCGGAATAACACTTTTATTCTTCCTTTAAGTAAGTTTTGAGGGTCGGACTAGAAACAAGAACTTCCTTTTTATCGCTGAAATAGTTTTACGTGATGAATCTGCAATTGAAAGCAAAGTCATTGAACCCGTTAATTGTCGCGTGCGATGTTAATTAACAGATTTGATTGCTCAATCTCAAAGGCAGTTACAGAAAATAAACAGCACGGCAACAAACAAGAGAAGAAAACCACTTTGTTTTTCGACCATTTTGGCACTTTTGCTAATGACTCGAAAATTACTATCTTCGCGGTAGAGCTGGGTATCTTTATATATTCAACTTATCAACATTATTCCCAAGCCGGTTTTCTGTTAGGATGGGAGCTGCCGATCTATGCTTAGTGTCCACCATGAATTTAAAGATCGCAATGTTTTGGCTTTTAAAAATTTATTTAAAATTAAAACACGTAGATAAATAAGCTTCATTAGAGGAACAGTCGCAAGACAGATTGGTGCTTTGACCAATAAATGAAGTATCTCAGTAAAAGGATAAAATAGCAAACAACCCAAAAAACGTCCTTGCAAATCGACATACATCGTCAAAATATATCTGGCTTCCCTAAAACGTAGCAACAGGCGTGGCGAGGGAGGGGGAGGGGGAGGGTGCAGACGGCGATCCAGCTAAAATGCATCAAATGCCGATACTCTGAGTCAGTTAAGGTTGAATGATATTTCAAGAATGAATATGAAAAGAGTGACAAATAAATACATAAATATAAACAAATGAGACAATCCATTTACGTAGGTGAAAAATTGTCCAAGACCCACATCATCGTGTCACAAAGAGAGATACACAACTTCACGCGCCTTCTCCTATCGATATGTGATTGTTTGCTTCTCTTTTATTTTGGGTCTTAGAATAATCCGGAGATGACACACTTTGGACCCTTGAAAATGATAATGTCTTGACTGCTCATCTCTAACTTTGAAGTTGTCACACAGCTCAGTGGGTAGGCGCCGTCCTTTGGCTGGCATGCACCATCCATTTAGAATCATCACTTTCGGAGAGTACAGAAAGGGATCTATCAGTCTTTGGCAGTTTCTTCACGGATTTCTTAAATCTTCGGTTAAAGAAATTCACGGAATGGATTCTCTCCACTTTTCTATTTCCAGTAGGTTCTCGTGTGGGTTCTGTAAAAAATTCAACAATTATGATCTCGTAATGACGTCACATTATGTCACTGCCACAATCAAGAAGTGTTGGAAATGATGAGTACATAATTATGTGTAATTTTAGTGGCCGTATCACAATGAAGTTAAAAGCTTTCAACATTTTTTTTGTTTTGTGTTTATTAGGTTTTGGGATGTCAGGGGCTGAAATTAGCTTCCTGTGATGGCGAAGGAGTCTGTATTTTTCTCAATGGACTGATTAAAACTCGAAATTCATTTCTTTTTATTATTTTGACTTTTAATATCCTTCTCAGCATATGTCCTGAAGGTCTGAACAAATTCGACAGTTCTTGGGGTTCACCTCCTAAATTACCAAAAAAAAAAAAACACTTGACGAATTGAGCTTAGAGGATTGAACCCGATCTCTTTTTTCATTATGAACTTACTGATCGCATTCCATTCGTGTACTGAAATGAAATATTTCAAATATTTGCTATTTTACTGTAGACCACCTATTTCGAGGTCAGATATCTTTCCCAGTCGAGCAAATCACTACAACTCAATAGCAGCGAGGTGGATGGGTCGTAAGGATATATATGGGGACACAGGGGGATGGATCATAATAAAAGACTCTATTTGATTTGATTGATTGATTTACTTACTGACTAATTGATTGATTGATTGATTGATTGATTGATTGACTGGTTTAATTATCATATCTATTTTATTGTATTTTTTAAGTTTCTGTTTCAGTTTTAATTCTAGTGAATGTTTATTAACATTTTACTCTTTCTTAATATTTATCATAATTTTGTAATTTTTAGATTTACTCTTGTTTCGACGTACCACTGAAAAGCCCTCTTCAGGGAGTGTCGATAAAGTTTGTATTGTATTGTGTGGTATTGTTGATTGATTGATTGATTGATTGATTGATTGGTTGGTTGATGATTGATTGATTGACCGATTGATGCAATATTCAGTGTCCCTACTACCGTAGAGTTCCGATGGTAGCGACTCTCGTTACTTTCGGAATTACCAGCCTTTGGGGGTCGCTACATTCGGGGGGTCGTTACTACCGGAACTTTACGGTAACGTTTGATTGCTGTCCCCACCTTTCCTCTGGGCTTTCTTCGATGACCGAGTAGGTGAGTAAGGTCGTAGTTCACTTTATACAACATTAACCTCGGGGAGGAAATTGAGATTCGCCAATATTAAAAGTGTAAGTGTGAAAGAAAAGAAGACAGGTAGAAATTATCTTAGTAATTTTATTGTTTCTTTTAATACCAATGGAAGGTTACAATCTCATTACAGCTTAATAAATATTATTTTAAATAATATAACCGCCTTAATTATCATTTGTGGTGACAACAGCGTCTATAGCATCGATTTCTAATAACTATAATCAAAAATTAATAAATTATTTAAGTGAAACCATGTTCTAAGTAAATACGTTTTTACAATACGCAACAAACCAAAACTTCCACAGTCGACAGAAAATTGCAGTCTGTGAACATATCCTCTGGTGGGTTACAGGATGAATGAAACAAACGAGAAAGTGCGATCGGGGTAGGGGGCAAAGAGGAAGAAAGGATGTCCTTCATCGCCGTGCTCCTTCGGCAGGCCGTTGACAGTCTACTGCAAATGTTAGTGGATCATCCCTATCTTTAAAGAAATACACTCTTTTAATTTCTTTACAACCCTCTGCACATATCACGGTGGGCACAACTGTTTCGCGGTCTATCAATTTGAGCTGGTATCTCTCTACACATGGGTTCGGTGTGGTGTTCCTCTTGAATCGGATTGCCTTACTCTGGCGTTTAGATGTTGCTCTTCGTCCCAGCGGTGTGCTTGTTCCGTCTGAGTGCAAAGCATTCTCGTCTCTATTGTCACTAACTGCCATGTCATCTTTTTCTTCTGGGGCAATAACGAGCAAGCCAGACTTCTCTTCAGCAGAGCCTTCAGAGATGCTTTGTTCCGTAGGGTTTATGTCTTGACGAATTTGTAACGTTGGAATTGTCGGTTTGCTTTCTGCTGAATTTCCATACAACGAGAAAACCAGTAAAAGAACAGCTGAGGTGGTGTAAATGACACTTTTCTGAAGGAGAAGAAAATTAAAAAGTCATTCGATAAGTACAAGTTTCCCCAATATGACCATTATGTAAACAAGTGAAACAATAAACACCAAAATAACAAGCCAACAAACATGAAGAGAGAGTTCAACCAAGTTACCAACTGAGCTAACAGGTTTAAAAACTTGTAGTTTTGAACTCTGGCCCTCTCTCAGAGCGACTTAAAGCTAGGGATTTTGGGTCTGTGTGGTTTATAGTTATCGAATGGTGGTAACATAAGAAACAAACACCCCGTAGCAGTTCATGATTTCTGCTTGAAGTAGTGCTAAGTTTTACGGAGACGCTCTGGAGTGTATTTTTTTGTTGTTGTTTTATTTTTTTGTGCAATATTCCTTGCCAACATTTTGCAAAACTCAGAAGATAAACGACTTAGTGCTCGAGGGGCCATTCAAGAGTTGATGAGTGTAGTGCTGTATGTCATACTGCAAAACGTAGTTTAGACGGACGACTAGCTCCTGCAAAAGTAGTCATCTGCCTAATTCTTCTCTTTTTGCAGAATTTTTGAAAGAAGGGAAAGCCCAATCACAATAAAAACGAAGTAAGGAAAAATATTTTTTAGACTTTGCCCTGAATCATCAATTTGCACTTACCTTTCTTTCGCAAAATGCCATTTTAGTCAATTAACCCGTCAGGCTAGTCGAGGTAGTTCAGTTGCCTTAAAAACTCGAATATACTCAGAAGTGTTCTGTGTTCTTTCAACTCTCTGAATTTGACAGTCCAGAAAATCTGACTTTCTTTTATAGCTACACCGGGAACCTTGAACACCACTCGACTATTACTCCAGGACATTTTTAGCGAATTACGCCTTTCGTCCAGTTTAGTAGTTCAGATTTCCTAACTCTTTCCAGTTGATCCTCATGGATGGGAGTTATCTTCCTCTACTTATGCAGAATGCGGATCTGAGTTGGAACAAGTCATTGTTCTGTGTTCTATTTTCGATACCATTTGCACTTTCTTTAAATAAAACTTTTCATCCTCTTTAATGCAGTCCACGTGGTAAGGCATCCTTCTTGTTTAATTGAGGAACTTGCTGCATCACTTGGCTGCAAGAATCAGTTTCTTCCGCCGAAATTGTATAATTAACCTCACAGCGCATAGAGGGTGCTAATGAATTCACCGTCATATGAACATCAGGTGACATCTCTTTTCTACGGTTCTTGAATTCTCCGCTTTTTGCTGGAGAGGTGTAAACGATGAAGCACTATTAATATTATAACCTCTTTAAAACTTTAATGTGGTCATAATCGGTCTTTTTTTCTTTTCATTAAAACAAACAAACAAACAAAACTGAAAAATAAATAGATAATAACAACAATAATGAGCTTATTTCTTCATATATTCTTGGACATTTTACAGGGTCATTTGGTATCCGTCATAACGGACTCTAAACTGGCCGGAAAAAAAGGTAAAGCGGAATAACACTTTTATTCTTCCTTCAAGTAAGTTTTCAGTGTCGCACTAGAAACAAGAACTTCCTTTTATCGCTGAAATAGTTTTACGTGATGAATCTGCAATTGAAAGCAAACTCATTGAACCTGTTAATTGGCGCGTGCGATGTTAATTACAAGATTTGATTGCTAAATCTCACAGGCTGTTGCAGAAAATAAACAGCACGGCAACAAACAAGAGAAGAAAACCACTTTGTTTTTCGACTATTTTGGTACTTTTGCTTATGACTCGAAAATTACTATCTTCGCGGTAGAGCTAGGTATCTTTATATATTCAACTTATCATCATTATTCCCAAGCCGGCTTTTCTGTTAGGATGAGAACTGCCGATCTATGCTTAGTGTCCACCATGAATTTAAAGATCGCAATGTTTTGGCTTTGAAACATTTATTTAAAATTAAAACAGGTAGATAAATAAGCTTCATTAGAGGAACAGTCGTAAGACAGATCAGTGCTTTGTTCAATAAATGAAGTATCTCAGTAAAAGGATAAAATAGCAAACAACCCAAAAAATGTCCTTGCAAATCAACATACATCGTCAAAATATATTTGGCTTCCGCAAAACGTAGCAAGAGGCGTGGCGAGGGAGGGAGGGAGGAGGGTGAGGATGCAGACGGCGATCCAGCTAAAATGCCGATACTATCAACTGCCGATACTCTGAGTCAGTTAAGGTTGAATGATATTTCACGGATGAATAGGAAAAGAGCGACAAATAAATACATAAATATAAACAAATGAGACAATCCATTAAGGTAGGTAAAAAATTTTCCAAGACCCACATCATCATGACACAACGAGAGATTACTCTCCCTCTCTCTTCGTGGAAAAAAAAATCCCCTTCCTTTCATCACTCCCGTCTAAATATAGCAACATGCCTCAACTTCCGGTCGTGTACTTTATTTACTGCTTGCGGTAATAAAGGGTTACCCATGCATGCTGAATGGTTAATTTGCAGTTCCTGTACCTTCAGTTCTGAACCAGAGTCAACAGAAAATCTGATACCACTTTTAATTTTGTGGACTAACAGGGCATAATGACAACATAAACACAGAGGTTCTTAAGTAGTGCCAAACGAAGATGGATTATACTAAAAAGGGAACAATCTTTATCAATACTGAGCTGTGATATTCTATCAGGGTGATAGGGACAAATGACAATGCAGAATTTGAAAGTTTCAGTGTAAATTGATGGAAATAGAGCACCTCCATTAAAATGGGTAATCCTTGCAAGCCTCCGTCAATTTGTGACATATATGACCAGACACATATGCGCTTTTATTGACAACACGGCGGTAGTGCAGCTTATATCGAGAAACAACCGCAAATAAGTCAAGTGGAACAGAACTTGAATTTGTTGCCAATGTGAAGGCAATGAGCATCAGCAATGATGAAATTGTACGTTACAGATTCTAGTAGGCTGTATCGTAAGGAGGCTTAACAATAAGAAAACGAATTTAGACCAAACCGTAGCAAAAATATATGTCAAAGAGAAAACATTCTTCTGTTTAATTTCACTTTGTTACTAGTGCTTATTTCCTCTGTATTTATTCCCTAGAGCCAAATCACAAACTAACTATTACAGCTCTGAATTCCGTGAAATCCGACACGCAAAAAAAAAATGATATCTAATTTTGAATTCGATACTATTGCTGGTTCTTTACGCTGTTAACCAGTGATGAACGTAAACGAAATCACCGTTGATGTGAAACCTTTTGATAGATCCTTACAGCTACCTGCGACAAGATTGAAAAGGATATACGCCAATGAAGTAGGATCTATAATTGTGATTATGATAAACGACACATGGGTTTAGATCGCGTTCAGAATTAAGCAAATTAAAAAGGAAATGGTCATTTTTCTGCGACATAATATCAAATTACAAGCACACTCGACAGTTTGAGAAATTTGATGGACATGATGCTACGCATGTCACTGTCTGTACTGATGGGTGGACGGACGTACCTTCGAGCAAGAAGTCGGTTGACTCAAAAGGGGTGCGACGGACGCGTGTAAGTCAGAGATGACAAAAACCAAAACATTGGAGATGGTGGGTTAGCATAGGTAATAGCATGATTTGTAGTAATATTTGGCATACATACCACGAGTGATATTTCGAAATTGTTACACGTAATTTCACGAGCTGTTAAGCGAGTGAAATTTGAGACAATTTTGAAATATCACGAGTGGTGTTTATGCCAAATATCACGTACAAATCATGCTATTATTTGTTTATACTACTACGCACAAAAGGTTTGTAATTTTCACATGTAGGCATTTCAAATTAAGCAGAAATACCACTGCTCTAAGCCAATCAAATTGCAGTAATTTCTCATGTAGTATAGTATAAACCAAATTATATTACCAACAGTGCTTCATGATCACTAGCAAGGTAAATGTGACTTCTATTTGAGAGTGGTACATTCGCTGTAATTTTGGTCCTCTTTTTAGGAGGCAAATCAGTTTCCAAACAACGGGTCAGAAAGGCTTTTAATCTCTTATCAAAGTGCCTGAAATATTGCCTGTAAGCATACCTTTGGTACCAATTAACCGACTACGAAATACGGCCCTTTGACTAGCTGAAAGTTATTGACAGACTGACAAGAAACAAATGAGCTTCACTTTAAATTTTATTTCCAACATTTTGAAGCATTTCCTTCTGTTCAAGTTATTTGGATCACCTCAGCAAAATTTCAGTCTCCCGCATTTTGCAGTAGCAAAGGCGAAAATAACATTACTTCTGATAACGGTCACCACCTTATTTCATTAATAATGTTTATATTTTCTTCATTCAGGCCCCATCAAGCCTCTTAAATGGGAAACTTCCACATGCCTGACGCTTTTGCCTTTCATAAACAGGCAACAGAGACGTGCTCCCAGTGTGGTAATATTTAAAGAGCATCAAGTCCTTCGTCTTCTCTTTTTCAATACACCGCTTCAACCACGACAAACTACAGAATACTTAAACTAGCAATACACTACTTGTCGTTCGTCAAGTTCGGCTTAAATTGAATCGTTCGCAACTCTACATAAATGTAGAGACATTATACTTATATCAAGAATCTCGTTTTCTCGGTCCGTAAGGATCCCCGCGTTTCTTTCCCGCTTAGATAAACGGCTTGGGCGCGTACAGGGCCGGCCGCGAATCCGAGCGGGAAAAAACGCTCGGTCCGCAACTTACAAAAAGGACCTTGAACGCGGAAAGTCAAGAGGTATTTCCCTTCTTGCATGTATACATTTCAGACATCGTCGTCAGCCAACGACGTAAATTTTCTCCTTGCAAAACAGGCGATACCATTTTTTATAAGATGTATGACTAAGAAGAGGTTTACAAAAAGGAAATAAAATTCCATAACGTTACACAATGAGAAAAAATCCACCGTAAAATTATACCAATGAATCGAAGGTGTAACCAACGAGCTTAGTTGCAATTCGAAAGTTATAGCCTACTTTCCCACTTTAGAAAGATGAAAATGCCGCATAATACCCTGATCAATCTATGGCGTTCAAGCCCATTATAATAATAACTACTAGTAATAAAAATGACACTTCAATTAACACTTTTACTTCTTGAGATATCTAATCTAGTTCTACATGTACACGGAATATTTCACAATAAAAAATGAAGTGCTAGGGATAGAACATTATTTTACGTAAATTAGAGCTCAATAAAAACTGTCACATGGTACTATTTAGTTTTTTCTCATCTTCTCCCCCAATAGATTTGGATTTCTTTATAACCATGACTGATAAAAACTGGTTTCCATAAATGTAATGAAAGTGTGGATCATCTCAGTCGACTAAGGGTGTTTACCTAAAGTAAGAACTGGCCGGCTAGATCGGTCAACTTGAAAGTGAAAGTGAAAGGGGCTTTTCTGGAGAGTTTTTGCCAAGTTTCCAACAATGCTGTTCGCAGGATTAACGAATAGACTAACCTGGGGGTTACATATCGGGGCAACTGACTACCTACCCCTCCCCTAAAACAAAATTAACACTCACTTCTCATTTAGGGCAAAATGTTGATTTAGGGGATGGGTAGGTGGTCAGTTACCCAGAAACGTGAACGATCCCCTGACTGGATAGCCTCCCACGCAGGCGTTTTTAGGCGAGCTCGTATTTCTTCCCTCCCCACAAACGCCTGCTCAACGGAAAACAACGTGCGCAGCTTATGTACCAGCACAGATTAGTCCGTCTTATGGTGATTTAAGTGTTATGTTCTCAGTTCTACTCGTATGAAATCCTTCCACATTTCTACATGGTGGGGTGGGGGTGGCATGTTTTTTTTTAATTATTTTTTATTTTATCATTATTATGTTTTTTTTAATGGCGCTTTTTCCATTGGTGTCGACGGATTTTTTCTACCTTGTCAATGTCACAAGTTGAAAAAAACACACACACAAACAAACAAACATCGTGGAAGGGTCTATTCTCTTCACTAACGGGCAGGTCTGGCAACCCAGTACTGAGTGACAGCCTGAACTTACGCAACAGGACGGGAGAGACAAGAAGACGGCAAACCTTCCGTGACAAACGTGAAAATAATTGTTTGAAAAAACCTTCCTTCAAACTTCTTGACCTTTTTTAGCAGATCTTTTTGTAAAAGAACAGAAAACATTGATTATAAGTGAAGATTGAGACAAAACACGCAAGTAATAACCCTGTCAGTTTTGTCACACACACGCGTTTTGCAGCCTTCTTCTTCCTGTCGCCCTGTTTCGTAAACTCACTGTTGCAAGGGCCCTATGTCGTCTTAAAATGTGTTTAAGGAATCAAGATGATCGTAATAGCCTGGCCCTATGTGGGATAGTTGGCATATAGCCTGGCCAGATGTAGGATAGTTTTCATATCAACGCCTGAATCATCCTAATCGTCAAACATGCTCAAGGCAATATAGACGATCCGGTCTCACATTTAGAATTCAGACGTATACTAAACCATTTAAGAGTAATAATAAACAATGTCTCAGTGCTTAACTATTTGTCGATGACATTAAAAATTTTACAGCACATCTACCTAAATATCGATGGTGTCATCGTCCAATTTTCTTTGCTCCATTTTCTGCACCTATTTGACATGGGACTTTGATCCACTTGCATTTTGTACTTTGGACATAACTATATCTTCTGATAACTCGCTTAAGGCGTTTGCATAGATGGTAACATGCGCTGGCTAGATAAACTGTTAAGGAGAAATTTTCTCAATAGATGAAACAGCCTATAGTGAAATATATATATGTAAAAAATGGAGATTTTCTTGGCTCGAAAATAGGCAAAAAGTTGAGTTTGGCAATTAGAGCGGCCGTAGACCGACACGGACGCCCACCTCCTTGGTATAATTATGTTGTGAAGTATTTTGAAAGTTATTTTTAAGACGGATTTGTCTCATCTTTTAAGTTTCGTTTTTGTTTCATTAAGTGGGTAAGGGTTTGTTTGGATTTTGTCCATAGGTGTTTTCCTGTTTCCATCTTATGTTTTTACTTCAGGCTTGTACTTGAATTTTTGCTTAGCTCGCGAGTTTACTCAGTAATGTCATTTTACGAATATTCTTCGCTTGCCGTTGTCCGATGTTAGTTTTTCATAGGTGGTCATATTTGTGATGTTAGAGCTGACCCTGGTTCACTAGTCTCGTTGAACTTTCCGTTTGGGTTTGTTAACTAGCGTTTTAGTTTTTCAGTGTTCGTAGCTTCTTGCCGATTGCAACCATGTAGGTTCAGTAATATCAAAACATTACCCACACTGAGTTCACCTTGTTTTTATTCCCACGGTCAGCTAACCCAAACATGACCAGCTTTGGTTACAAAAACGGCGGCTATTTGACTAGTTAGGGAGAAGAGTTAGGATTTAGTAGAGAAGAAGAGTAAGAAGATTAGGATCGTTAGCAGAAGTCAAAGAAGAACTAAGATCAAGATGTAAATCAGATTCCTGGTATCTCATCGTGTAACGAGCGAGCTGCTCGAACACACCGCCACAATTAAAATTAAGCGCCCAATCACATCGATCACACGTTAAAACAGGTGAGTTAAATTAACCTTTATAGTTCTTCCGTTTCTACCTCTTTGAACAGACACAGACACTTCTGCAACTAAGACACTTGGATCTCTCCCTTTGGTGTCCGCATTGAGGAGGTTTCACCGTAATTAGCTACCACCGTGAAGTAAACTTTAACTGACATACGGAATATAGGCAGTACACGTGTACTGTTAGTAATATCAGTATTATTTTTATTACGAAGGATACATGGAATGCCTTTTCGATTGTTGACTTGTGCGTACTTATTTTTCCTTTGGTCATTGGCTTGACGTTTTCGCCCACCCATGTGATAAAGACGAACTTCACTGTTGTTATGCCATCAACAACATCTTGCTGATGAAAAGAAAAGACAAATAAACAAAATCCAAATAAATCGGACAAGACCCCCCCCGCCCCTGCGGCGTTCACGCTTGTAAATTTCCGTGATTATTATTATTATTTTTCAAAAATTATTATTTCATTGTTTTGTGATATTTCTACAAAACCAAAGTGCAGTCACAGGAAACCGGATTGTCCTGCAATAGCCCCTCTGGCAGGTTGACGAGTTTATCACGAGTTTACCATCCCATCCACCCCCCTTCCCCGCCCCCCACTATTTGCTCCTGGGTATCCGTTGATGGCGTTTCGTAGGTTGTTATTGTGTGTTTGTTTGACTTTGAAAATCCGGTCATCAACATCTTTTTTTCTTGAGCGAAGTTCCTTCCCTTTCAATTGGCTATGACTAATGCACGATGAGTCGCATGCTTTAAAGAGTAATCACTTAAAAAAGCGCGAATAATCATATTCACTCACCACTCGTAGTAAGGCATAAGCAACAATATCATTTTTCAGCTGTGTGACGATTCCTTGTAACCCGTCTGCACCTTTGCCGATCAAGTCAATGGGCTTCTTAGGATTATTGTCCGCATATGAACCAACACACCTATAGGTATAGAAGATCAGAATAAAGTTTAGCCTGCGTAGCATGGCGGTTTTGGTTGGGCGCGTCAAGTAATAAAGGCGGGCGAGGGCAGAGAAACCGCGAGGAGATTGGGGCGGAAGCAACCTGAAAAACCGCCTGCACGGACGGGGGGCTTTTTTGAGTCGGTCCGCACGCCAGCGTACGGATCGTTCCGATTGGTTCGGAATGTTCGCCTGTCAATCAAATATTTTGGTAATCTCCCATGGGAGAGTTTCGAGGGACTGAACAAATCATCTCCGCAAAACAAAATCAAAATATCAAAGAAGCGTTGACCGGAGCGTCGTCGATCTTGAATATTTGACGGGAAAACAGGGCAATTGTATTGAAGCCTAAACAGGAAATGGCCATTTACAGTCTTCTTCAAAGGAGAGATGTCATGGAAATTTTGTCAACAAGATTTGGCAAGAGCATGATCTTTACTGTCTTTGCTATGGCCAAAGAAGAAATATCCTCATCGAAAACCTGTATGATCACAATTTCCCCTCTAAAAAGTACTATCGACGACCAGATATCTGAAATGTTGTCGCTGAGCTGTAAAGCAGCAATGGACCTTATGACAGAAACAGTAAATTTCAGTGCTTCGAGAAAGTTCACCTCAATTTTCTCTATTACTCGGTGTTAGAGAATAACGCACTCCAGCGCAAACATCGAACGGTGTCCGCGATTGTGGTCGATGAATCGCATACGGTAGAAGAAAGACGCACAGCGTAATTCTCCATACTCTTTTGCTTGGTGTAGCTTAAGCTACAACTCAAATCTGAAGATCGCGCTACACGTAAAAATACAACATCCTGCAAACAACACATAAAAACCGGGCCCAGCGTCAAAACATTCACGGACAAAGCAGTGACAAAGAAACTACAAACCAAGGCTCCTTGGTTTGTAGTTGTCCAGATCCAGGCATTTTAGTCGGAAAAGACCAAAGAAACTAAAATATTTATTTAGCCGTAATAAAAAGCTTTAGGCTTTAAGAGTGGTCAAAGAAATTAGTACTTTACAACTGCATCTGAGGTCAACAAATTCTAATTAGCGAAAATAACATTAACCACAGGAAATAATTACTCAATACGGATTAAACAAACCAGCTCCATGACCTCTAAATAAATGTAAGACTTAGTGCAGCAAAAATAAGATCTACTCAGTCAAGTTTAGAACGCAGTGTAGTCACCTATGCGCGAGATAGCCACAAAGAAAAAACCCGTGGTTGTTCAAGCAAACTCCAATTCCGACCAAGGTCACGTTTTACACTATATTGCTATATCACGAGCTTTTGTGTCGTGTTTAGGCTGTCAACATTTTATTTCTGATTGGCTGGGAAAACTGAAACCAAACAAGTTGTCAACAGGATGTCAAAATGAGTTGAAGGGGGCGGCAGTTGAAAAGGCCACGAATCCGGGCAGGCGGTTTTTATTTTTCTCGCGGCTTCGCCGCTCCTGCGCCCGGCTCGACAAAACTGCCATGCTACGCAGGCTAAATAAAGTTAATTTCAGTGACTTCGTCCTTTACTCAATTTACAATAGAGACCGCGTTAGGTGTTGTTGACGATGACGATGATAATGATGATGGTGATGATGATGATGATGATGATGGTGGTGGTGGTGGTGGTGGTGGTGGTTTTGATGATGATGATAAAGTAACAGAAATAACAATAATAATAGACAATAATATTCAATTAATAACATAAATACACACATTTACTTTTTTTAACCTTACCAATTAGTTGACGTATCATCACTTCGCACTTCAGCTATCGCTCCATATACAGCATCGTCGATGTTGACAGCGACTGCAGGCAAACACGCAGACACATGATAAGAAAACACATCAAGAAACCAACATAATAACCTCTCCTCCCCCCAACCCCACATACCTAACAACAGGAATAGAAAGACCGATTAATAAATCATCGCTATTATCATATCAAGTACTATTCTAGCCGGAGAAAACAATCGACATTTCGCGACGTCACCGCTGGTTACCCGCGAAATGACGTATGAGAGAAGAGCGCATAAATTCCACACTGATGATGCGTCACTACCCGGATCTGGGTAGTACTTCTGATTGGTTGAAGCAAATTTCACTTACGGCACCATCAGTCAGTAGCACTACCCAGAACTGGGTAGTGACGCGTCATCAGTAGGGAATTTCTACGCTAGTTTCTCAGACGTTATTTCGAGGGGGAACCAGCGAAATGTCGGCTGTTTTCTCAAGCTATAACTAGCCAAGCCAAGTTGAAGGCTTACCAGATCCCGGGGTCTGAAAACTAGACACCGCCTTTCCAGTCTTGATAACATTACTGCTGCTAGTAAAACCACGATCCTGCCACACGCACACAAAAAGGCATTAAATGGTGCAGACATACAGTCAAAAACAAGCAAACAAAAAGATAAAAACAATTAAAAACAAAACCCAGTTTGACGTCGACCGTGTTGAAAGCCTCATTGAAAAAAGCAATTCCGTCTACCTGCATTGATCGTATCAAAGTTACAACTATACCCTAGAAATTATAGCCATGGTGACAGAGGGCTAGGAACCGTTTTCGTCATTCATATATTGTTTTGCTAGCTAATTAAAAATGCCCTTTTTTGTGTTATTCAATGCAACACATTAGCGGTTTTGTTTTACAGCGGTCTTTTAATAGCACTTTCATGTGTTCAGTTATAAGAAAACTAAGGAATGGATTCAACAAAATTAATGCTGCCTCGACCAATAACTTTGTGACTGACAGAGAGACGTACAGAAATAAAAATAAATAAATAAAAATTGAAATAAACAACGATCTAGAGGAAGCAAATCCCCTTAGTGATTCTTCGCTACCATTCCTGGTCACGTTTGAATTTAGAAATGTTTTAGAGGAGAGAGGAAAACCGGAGTAAGGGACCAGTCATAATTTAAGTTGGAGGGGGGAGTGGAGGAGAAATTGTTTTTTATTCCAAATTTTTTCCAGACCCCCACTAATAGCACCCATGTTTTTTAGGTACCCCCCTTCAATCATGTTAAAAGATTTAAGGGCCCCCCTTTCTTATACATAATACCCAAATGGTAATAACAAATAACATTTTCTTTACTTTACCGTTCTTACTCACTGTCACTTCCGAATGTGCCAACTAACAACAGAGAAGCACTTCACACTAAACTGAGAAAGAGATTTCACCTAGAGCCTCTCAAACAGCTTATAGAGCAAGGATATATCAGTGATTGTGTTATAATTGAGATAAGACAAGCCATCGAAAGGTGAGAGGCCGACAGGACCGCTTCAAGGAAGAAAGAAGATAATCAGCCAGAACTTACTGCTTTTTATATGAGCAGTACATGCTATAATAGCGAAAAACTTGACGGTGACACAGACAGTGTGTCCGCATCAACCTCATCTACAAATAATGATTCGGATAGTGAGATTGCATGACATGACTTTATGCATGTAATCATTTGTTAAAATGCCGATGAAATTGTTACACAACAATGGATGTTGTGTTGATGCACCTACTATTTGAGCATTAAATCTTGTAAAAATGCTGATTAAATTGTTTTAGTATTACACAATATAGGACTTCGTGTAAAACTGAATCAAAATCAGGTCCTTTAATACTCAAACATCATGCTGCTCAGTAGGGATGCTACTTAAAAGAAACTTGAAGACCCCCCAAGGTCATCTTTTGGCATTTTAAGGCCCCCCATATTCCATCCCAAAAAATTGAAGGCCCCCAATTTTCTCGTCCCCCCCCCCCTCCAACTTAAATTATGACTGGTCCCTAAGCAAAGAAAAACCTCTCAGAGCAAAGTAGAGAACCAACACGTTAACGCGTCGACGCCGGTATTTGAAACCAACCGACATTGGTGGGAGGCGAGTGCTCTCAGCATTGCTGCACCCTTGCATCTTAAATGCACTGATAGCCGGACTACTGAATACTGTGTTGTCTAACTTCTTGATATTAAACAACATCGGTCACCTGTCTTTGGGCAGCATCTGTGGCATCGAGCACTTTGTTTGTACGTCCACTGAATCAAAATAGAAAGGAAAAAGAAGGAGACAATTACAATGCAAACAACTTTCTGGTTAACAATATCGCCGACGATGATAAAGGGGGCGCGCCACAATCATGCTACATTGTATACTACCTATCACGGCTTACGACCATGAGTCACGATCAACAAACCCACGACAGAACAACGTGCACGCCGCTGCTGTTGTTTGCCAGAGTCAAAATTGTGTTCCTTAACATAGCACGCTACCATATTGGTATTTACTCAATGTAAAGAGGAATCCGGTTAACATCGAACAGAAATGGACATGAAAATATCAGTGGTTCGAAAGCTGGATAACGCTATCCACGGGATAAATCTCTATCCAGTGGATAACGCAATCGATTTTCCTAATACCTATCCGTTTGAACAACTGGGGCCAGGTGTCCACATCAAGCGCGGGCTCTCAGGATAATCGTCAAGGACACCTATATTATCGATGCAAAGGCTACTATGTGTTAACCTAAAGGCTCTTAAACGCAATTTCGGCTTAATAATTAATCTTGCACTGACATTAACGTTAACTCGGTGTTTCAAGAGCGACAAGCTTATCATTTGCAGCAGCCCGTTCTAGGAAAACACTCATGTCCAGGCCCTCATATGCGGTCACGACATTACAAGCCAATGCCAGTCTTCATTTTAAACAATTAAAATAAAGGATGCGCGCCCCATACATTGTAGCCTCTCCGCACACGTCCTTTGCGGGTCGTTTGTCACGCATTCATTTCTCCCCCACAATGAATGCGTGACAAACGAACCCAAAAGGACGTCTGCGGGGAGGCTACATACATTGTAAAGAAATCCCAATTCTGGAATCCAGGAAATTTTTGCAGTGGAATCGGGAATCCGGGAAATTTTGGCTTACAGAATATCGAATGCTGAGCTTGAATCTGGAATACATGTACAGCTAAAGGAATCTGGAATCCCACCATAAACGATTGTTATACTACTAGATGAGAAATTTCTGCAATTTGATTAGCTTAGAGCAGTGGTATTTCAGCTTAATTTGAAATACCTACAGGTGAAAATTACAAACCTTTTGCGGGTAGTAGTATAAACAAATAATAGCATGATTTGTACGTGATATATGGCAAAAATACCACTTGTGATATTTAAAAATTGTCTCAAATTTCACTCGCCTAACGGCTCGTGAAATTACGTATACCAATTTCGAAATATCACTCGTGGTATTTTTGCCAAATATCACTACTAATCATGCTATTACCTGTACAAATCCGGAAACTAAGTTCCATTGACACAGAATCCAGAATCCAGTAGCTGGCATCTGGAGTCCACAGCGTGGAATCCAGAATCCAATAATGTTCCCTGGATTCCCTTACATGGGGCTACAATGGAGGTCAAAAGTGTTGGGACCTTTTCAGTGATATTACTGAAACTGGCGAACCCTCCCCTCCCACCCCAATCAAAGTTGAATTTTGAGCAAAATGCGTGGAAATGAGTGCTATTTTGGCCACAACATCGCGGGGGAAGTTGGGGGGACGACGGGATGAACCCAAAGCCAAACAAAAATTGTCGTTAGGAGTGGGGTCCTATGTAACAATTACTTGGAAGGGCTTTTTCACACAGTCCAAAGTTCTTTTGTCCTCCATAGTAGATGTCGGACTGAGTGTTTTGTTGGGTAAGCAAAGGCAAAAAGGCATGCAGTGGGTAAGGAGAGGCTAGGGGCTTCTGGGTAATCTATAGGTCTTTGCGTGAAAAGTCACCTTGTGTCTGAAATAACTTTCATCATCTCCTCTTCTGTCACATCTGACTTGTGTGACGTCTCAATGATGCAATGACTGGGCTATAATGAAATCATGGTTGACAATCAATTCGCCAGACACGGTACACAACTGTATGTAGAGACTGATTAAGAAGATTGCTCTTACATGGTTGTCACTTACAAGCATCTAAGGCAGAAATTATCATGAAAAGCTTGATAACAAATAAGTGAATAAATAAATAAACAAATAAATAAATGATTAACAACCCATGATCTTTGCAGCTTCAATCTGTGTCACCAGGTTACACACTGAGCATTGGATAGTGGCAATTCATATCCAATTAAATCCACATTGGCCATGCCAAACATGCATCATGTATGCACATGGGATGTTTTAAATAACCAAACATAAATCACAACAGAAAATACCTGAAAATGCTCCTTAACACTGCCATGCACAACACCAAACTTGCCTTTCTTGCTAAATGGAACACTTTCTCCCACCCAGTGAACATAAACAAATTTTACAGTCTTCTCAACATAGTTGTCTACTAACTCTTCCAAGCGAACTGCAATACATAATTAACATATTTTATTAATACTTTCTTGCTTGTAGACATTTATACACTGTTTGTTTGCATTTGGAGCTGGAATTTGAAACTGTATTTCAGCAAAATGAAGTTTAAATTCACACAGTTGTCCTTGAAGAAAAAATAACTTGCTCAACTCGGTCTTGTTCAGATCTTACAAAATTTATGTATAAGCATACAGCTGTACTTGCGGGAATAAACTATGCCATTTTGTGCCATTTTGTGTTGTGTCAATGTACATGTAAAATTATTGAGAAATCAGTCATGGGTGAATCTTTTGTGTTTTGTCTAGTCTTGTGAGGCTCAATCCACAACGCAATTCTCAATAACTTGTTCTCAATTCTCCATTCAGGCAGGAATCGAGAATTGAGACTTGCAACGGACCAGTGCTGTAACATCAACATAAACATCAATATTAATAACACACATGTAATTAAAACAGTTGTCTTTATAATAGTGATACAGGTCAATAGAAAGTGCATGATGAACGGGCTTGAGGGTACGGAGTTGCCTATGAAGGTGCCACATGATGCAAAGATGACTGTTTTAATACATGTAGTATTTTTGATATTTTTTTTTGTGGACATGTAGTTGACAACACAAACTGAGAAACTGTAATGGGCTTTCACCCCAGAAGTGGACACTGAAATCTCCAAATCCCATTTATAAATATTATTGTAAAAATGTTGAGAAAAGAATGTGCCACCAAAAAGTTTTATTTCCGAAACCATCACACTAGGGGATTTTTTCTACCAATCCAAAAGAAGAGGTTTCATTTGGATGGTCACAGTACAGGAGTTTCACACACAGGCCCAAAAATTAGTCCCATCTTTAAGAAATTCAACATTCATTGCACATTGCTGAAAGGAATAAAAATCAACTTATAGCATGCAAATGACCAAAAGCATCTAACCTAGACCATACATGACTTCACCATCTTCAAGAGAACCAGCCATTTCATCAGCCCCTCCAGTTCCTTTTGCTTTGTAAAAGATAACATTTGGGTTACCTTCCCAATGAGCCGCCAGCATCCTGTGGAAAAGCAGAAATCACACTATCTTAATGGCTATAACAATCAAAGCTCTCTAAGCAGAATTTTCATTAGCATTAACTCTACTTATAGCTGCCTCAACAAAACTCTATTTGAACACTAATAATGATAATGATGATGATGGTGATGATGAATGATAATTAACATGCCATTTCCCGAAGAAAAAAGTCTGAAGATACATTCATTCTTCTAAAAGTAGCAAGATTCTCTATTTCCCCTATCAAGGTTAAACAAACATGTTTTCAAGTATTGTAATAAAGTGTTTATTTAAATATTACCTACTAGCTTATTTGTTTTGTTGTTGTTGTTGTTGTTAGTGTGTGTGAGATCAGAAGTACTGCTTCTGAAGTGCAGTTCTGGTTTCTCATATTCAACAAGGTTACATTTCATTTCAGAACGATTTTTTCCAAAAAAACTGTGAGATTGGGAGTCTTGGCAGGAGGCAGCGAAAAAAAGAAAATAATAATAATAGGAATAGAAACTTTGTTTGTGTTTTTGAATGTACAATTGTAAATAAATTTACAAATGCTGCTTGAGATTGGATTATTTAAAAAAAAAAAAAAAATAAAAAGAAAGAAAAAAGAAAAGAAAAGAAATCAAAATTGCATTAAGTCTGGGCTATCCCAATTCCTATTTCTACAACAAAAGATGTAATATGTTGCTCTAATGGCTATATTTATCATTTTCTTGATTACATAAAGTTGTTGCTTTTTGCCAATGCGAATGTCATCCATCATGACTAACAACGTGGAGCATTCATCGGAGAAAAGTCGCCAAGGGAGCTCATGGAGAGATTTACAAATTTCACACATCTGTAATTTCTAATCATTTCTTCGATCAAGTTGAGATATTTATAATAATAATAATAATAATAATAATAATAATAATAATAATAATAAGGAGATGCGACTCACAGCAGAATTGTGAGAATTGGTAGTTCTGGAATCTCAGGTGTCAAGTTCTTATCGATTAATAAAACCCAACAATGCAAACCCACCTCCTCCCAACTAAAGAATAAAAACAAAGGAAAAGAATACTTTCTAGAACATTAAATAAGGCTCACCTAAGCTTTAAAAAAAAATCAAATGAACATATGTATCTATCATAAAAATGCCTCACTTTTTCTAGAGCAAGGGAAAGTTCCATTAAACCTAAATCATACTTCATTTTACCATATTATCATTACAATGATTGTAATTGCCTCTGTGTAATTGAGAAAAAATTTTGTTCAATGAAAAGTAACAAGGTATTGATAGCTAAAGAACTCTGTTAGGCGTAGTGCATGCAGAGGATTGTTTCAATAAGTTAATTAATATTCATGCAAAATATTTCACAGTCTCTGATTGGCCAATATTTCATGCATAATTCATCATAACCAGCTATTGCCAACCAAATTTGGAAGAATTTTGGGATATTGAAGTGATGACATCAATCATGCAGCAAAATTGACAGGTAATTGAACCCTTTGACCGAGAAGACCGGGGTATGAGGTTGAGTTGTTTTGGCACTGAGTACAAAATGGCAGAACATTTTACTTGTTTCACAGCAAACCCTTGTCTAAAAACATAGCAAGAACAGCAAGAAGACAACTCGACAACGACATCTGCTATTTGGAGCATATTTGCAGACCTGAACAGCCCTTTATCTCCTAAACTTCCCGATAAACAGGCACTATCAAGATGAACTTAACATCGATGGAGGTAAGCATGTTTTAGCTCAAAAATCATGAACACCTGAAAAATATTTTATTGCTTTGTGACCAATCACAACAGAGAACCAAGACATGTGAACAAGCCACAAAACCGCAAACTTCTTACCATTGTTGCTTGTGGTTTAGTTTTCTCACACCTGATTACAACCCAGCAATAACATATTAACTCTTTGCAGAAAAAATTCTGGTCTTTAGGGTTTTCTGAGGACTTCTTTGTGTTGTAGATATACAATCTATAGCTATCAGGTTACTATACAGAGAATATGCCCCCAACTGATGATACACAACTCGTTTTGACCCTGATGATGACTGCTGCCGAGGTTGTTGTCAATGACAGATGCTATAAACAATATCTCTGTCAGGACCATTCTTGGCTCAGATCACCTAATGGTGATTGTACCTCAGTATAATAAAGGAACTAATCAATCTAAGCTAATTGTTCCAATACTTCTGAATGCTCGAGCTGTTCTTCTTGCTGGAAACTTAATAATACTAAACACGTGCCATTGTGTCCTCGAACACGGCATTCATGAAAAAATAGGCCTTAATTTTATAAATTAATTTTATTTATTTATTTCAACATTCATTTTTGCATCTAAGTGCTATTACTGTTAATTCATTAGTTTGTAACATTTCAGCATATTGTATAATTATTAGCCTGATGTTTTTGCCGTGTATAAATAAAAGTGTGATGATGATGAATAACTCAATTATGAAATTACCAAAAAATGAGTTGTGAGGTATCAAAAAATGACTTATTATAATAATGACTGTTTCCTAAAAGACAAACATTGAAACAATACATTATACATATAATGGGTGGTTTTTGTTCTGTAGTCTTGCAACCTTAACCTGACAAAGGTGGGCTTGTCTCTCATTAATGTAGTGAGAGAAAGTGCATATAACACCTCATTGTAAATGCATACATGTACAAAAAATGATACGCATAACCCTAGCTTCAATGCTCTCAATCTTAGAAGCTAATGTTCTCCAGAACAGGGACAGCATATTACTCCAAAACTGGACAAACAATAGTTACAAATACCTTAGCAAAATAATGAAACTGGTGGAGCATGAGACTACTTTATAAGATGAAACTTTTCATGGTGATCCTTACATGACAAAAGTACCACTGGAGGGACTCACAACCTGGCAAATGCCCAGGGGAGGGGAGGGGATGCATGCTTGGAATTGATTGTGGAGGGGGACAGGGGGGCAGGAGCCCGGGAGAACAGGAGGCGGGAGGGGTACGGGAGACGGGAGAGGAAAGGGCGGGAAGCGGGATCTCTATGATGGCGGGAAGAGGGAGAGAAATTCCAAAAGGCAAGCTTTCGTTAATTGTTACTGCTCATCATCCGGTCAAAGAAACGAACCCAACAAAGTTTCTTGACTTCCATTTAACGTTCTCCAAGGCCCTAAATCAAAATTTTAATACAAGAAAAGTCAAAAAACGTGAATTCGCACTCAGGATAGAAAAAAGAGCAATACTTCCGGTGAAATTGGAAACCTTTCCAAGTCGGTTACATCATAGGTCACGAGTCCTCATGAATGAGGTGGCGTGACACATGTACACGGTGTCGGCTGTGTAAGTCGAGTGTCTCGCCTGTTTGACCTGTCTCGCAGGTAAAATGTCGTCAAAGACCATTTTAATCGGTCTAAGTATTTTTCGGTGTGGTGTGGAAAAATCCATTACATGGAAGACCTTCCTGGGAGCTCGCTCTGTGTACGATTGTAGTTTGCAAAACACTAAAGATTTTACGGCGTGGTGCAAACTTGTGTCCAGGGAATGCAAATTCAATGATCGTGCTGGAGAGTGCTGAGTGGTTAGATATACAACGCAATTTTTGTTTTGGATAAGGCCAAAGCACTCCCTATTAGAATAGGAAGTCAAACAGCGTGGGACGCTGTCCGTTGGACTTCATAGACAACAAAGAAAAACATTTGGCCCTTCCACTTCATTTTGGCATGATCCCGTAATTTCGATTCCTAAATGCATGTTAATGCATCTTTGATAACTGCAATAGCTATTACACTGCACAGTGGACTGAGACTATTGTCGCTGTAGTGGGATGTCAGAAGCGGTGGTCAAACCTAGATAACCAGGTTAGTGAAAACTCAGTTTAACTAAGAAAACTGACTTGTAACAATTTTCATCTTTGGCAAATTACCCTACAGCTTTAACACTAAACCCGGCTTTGATCTTTTTAATTTACATGATGACGGGAAAAATACAATAAAGGGCGGGAGTCGGGAGACAAAGGAACAAAAAGGTACGGGAGGCGGGAGAACGGGGTATGGGAAGCGGGAAGTTGTCACCCCCTGTCCCCCCACTTGATTAATCTTGTACTCATACTGTGTAGATGCTGCTATCACAAGAAGCTTCCTTGCAAGTACTAAGTTAATTCTTTATACAATTTACAACCAACCAGTACTTAGATGGACAAGATATTAAAGTATGGATCAAATCCCCCGTGGTCCCGTGTAAGGCTTAGTAGGGTCCTCGTAGACACTTGAAAATTTTTATTACATTAATCCAGCCTGATTAATCATGGGATCTCTAACCCAGACTAAGGAAATGTAAGTACACTCATTCGCCATCATGCAATATCGTTATAATCTAAGGGAGAAAAGGTATCATAAATGAAACATTTAAATTATCGGCGAATCATGCATACGAGAGGACAGGAACGTGGAACGTTAAAGCTGAAGCTTGTGAACAGCTGAGTAAAACTTCAAGCAACGCCTACTAAGGTTACTCAAGTCACTGTCGAGTTAGAGAAATTTACCAGTTAGTAGGGGATGCGTCGCTCCTGACATCACCGATTGCGTCCTTGAGTACACCTTCGTCTTTCAGTTCTACTTGCGTGGACATAATGATGATTTGAAACAATATTCTGGAAATATTGAGAATAGAAAAATTAAAAACTGATGAATACAATCTGCTGCCGGAATATTAGGGTTTGCAACAATAGAATTTTGATCTTCATAGAGCCATCTTTAAACAACTTTAGTGCTTTGAGTATCGTCATAAATTGGCGCAGAACAATAGTAGTATAAAAATATGGATAGTAAAACAGAAATTTACCTACCAATACTTGCAGAAGACGAGGTATTCTTATAAAAGAGCAACACACACACACTGCTTAAGACAATGAGGATAAAATTCCTGTGGGGGGCTGGGGCTGAAAGGAAGTGAAAGTAGCGGAAGTGACGTAACATACCTTTGCCAAACACTCGCCCTTTCAAGTGAGTTGAATGTCATGCATACCATGCATCCAATTTTCTCGTAAAATTGGGCAAGAAAAAGATCTCGAAAGGTCAGCAATTACGCGGTAGTTAACAGTAAAATAGAAACCTTTAGATTCTAAGACGAGTACGACTACGAGTACGAGATTTTTTCAAGCACCTATCAATGTCATGCCAGCGGCGGACGTGGGGGAAGGGGAGGGGGGAGAGGAGGGGCATGGGGTGGGGATTTGATAGACAAGACAAGACAATGTTTTATTTGGAGTCTTATACAGTCCTATGTATGTCGACTTTATCCAAATAATTTAAAATCATAACACAAATTGCACACTAGTGGAACTATAATCAATGTTAACCTAAACAACTAATGGTCTTCTTTTCTCACAACAGTCGAATACGTATTTTGCAATTAACTTTTGCACTGATTGATTGATTTTGATTGTCTTTGTTGGCCCTGGGGTAGGGCATTTGGCTAATCTTGTTCTCCCAGGGGAGGGGATATTTGAATCTTTCTTCGCCCAACGTGGAGATATTTGACTGCCGACTCGGACGAAAAAGACTGAGACCGAACATATGTTTCCCTGTTTCCTCAACTTGTTTTAACTTGTTTCCCGCTTCCACGCTTCACGTATGCGCCGTACGGTCTGGAAGGGTTCTGGAAATCATGGAGTCCAACGGGAACAAGCGAAAGCTGAGTGGATTTCACTGTTTTGTCTTCAAATTTCGTTTGTTTTAGCGTGTTTTTGAGCAATTGATCCTCTTATACTGTGTATCAAAGTAAACGGAAGTAAAGAGAAATAAAGTCGATTCTTGAGAGTACAATTGATCAGTGTATGGCTCATTCGCTACAATCACTGTATAAAGCTTGTAAAACTGACTTTCTTTGTACCCTTAATTTACTAAGAATGGTATATTTGAACTTGCAAAATGTGGACTTTCTCCTGATAGGTTTCTGTATTCTACGCAGTGTAACACGGATTATGGTTAAAACGTATAATTGCAACTGTAACAGGAAAATGCATGCATGTTTGGTGATGCAGCAACTTTTATAAATAAAGATTGCAGAGTTTTATTTGGAAATATTTTCATTGTGTCTTTCTTGGGTTCTGCCTTGGGATATTTGATAGCAAAGTGCAGACCCGGGGTGGGGAAATTTGGTTGCATTTGACTGGAATGATTTGCCCGTGTGGGCAGGGAATTTGACGGTAAATTTTTGAAAAATGTCAAATCCCCACCCCTTGCCCACAAAAAATCATCGACGTACTTCTTAGTTCTCTTGGCTATTCTTCTCGACAAAACCTACGTACAGCTAAGAGTGAATTATCGCCCTTCGTCACAGCTTTTTCCGTTTTACGTTTTTCCCGCTCTTTTTTCAGCATGAATGAAAGCCAGGCCTTCGCTGAAGGCCAAAGCACTAAACAGAAAGAGCAGGAAACTACTGTTGTTCACGATGAGGATGACTCTGGTCAAAACACCTCACCAACCATGCTTTCAATACTTAGTGCTTTACAGGCAAGTGCGACCTCCTCAATAAAGGTAACAGTTGCTAACTTTTCTAGTAAAAAATCGTAAAATGAAGCTTTCCGGGGAGTCTATATTTTGAGAATACGCAAAAAAAACTTTAAGTCAAATCTCATACTCGTAGTCGTCCTCGTCCTTGAATCTAAAGGTCTCTAATATAGCGGCGACACAGAAGAAATACCTTATTTGATAAAGGCTGCTTTGAGCATTAGGCTTTGCGTACTGAAAAGCTATTGTTTGGCGGTCACTCAAGCAAATCTGACTGCAGCGAGTTCCGTAAAACGACCAAAATGCCCAATGACCAATTGCCAATGACCAAGTGCTAGAATAACCTTTATTGAATTAGGTATATATGTCATTGCCGCAGATATATCGCTCAATTCATATGGTGATCAGAGATACGCGCAAAAAGAGATTCTTGAATTATCCTGTCAACTGGCAGAACTGAGCAAACTAGTCATAATTTCTTCCAAACTCTTATAAAAAAAGTAAGTTTATTTAGTACGGATAAACATGCACTTCTTTAACTAGTTGAGTGCCTGTACTTTGCTAGCAAAGCAAACCCTTAAAACCGAGGACGAAGTCTGAGAAAAACCAAAACCAAAAAAACGCCCCCCCGCCTCCTTCCCCTATCCTGGCGCTAGAGTCAATAAATTCTCAGCGCCTTTTTCAGTTTAATCTAGAAATGGAGAAAACTTGAAAGTCTGTGATCAGGCTATTATCCTAAGCTAACAACTTAGCTACCCAATGAATAAACTCGCAATGCACTTTAGTTTATGGATATTTACTTTTCATCCACATATTTTATTTCTTTTATCTTTTAAAAGTCAATACTGCAAAAAATATTGTTTCTAAAGAGAGGAAACCTGCAGTGGGTCCGGAGTAAAACCTTATCTGTCTCTAGTACCTAATTGAAACATAAATAATTAACTTCTTGTAACCAAACAAAACTATTTCGATATTAACTAATGAACTAGGGTAAAACCTGCCAACTCTTTATAACTCAGTGAGTATATGTGTCCAAAAATCTAAAAGCCTCAAGAAGAACGATCTTACAAAGAATTCTTGGAGAGTTTCAGCGCAATTTCGGACAAATAGAGGAGGGTTAGAGGCCAGTCGCACCAAAACCCCATCCCCACAGTCCGCCTTCTCTAAATCCGCCGATGGCCAAAATAAATACTTTTAACGACCTAGCCAAAGTTAATGCGCAAACAACTCGCTTACCATAAGTGATTGGTACCTACTGCATGTATGCCGCACTAACACATGTGCACGTTGTTGCTTCAAGTGCCGCAAAGCTGAAATGGCTTTAAATAAGCAGTCTAAATAAAATAGCTAGGGACACAAAACTGATATAAATAACTCATGCAAAGAGAAATAAGTTCATTTGTAGAAAATATAGTATTATTGTTGCCAGGTACTAATCAAACATACGTGTATGAAAATTGTTAAAAGGACTGTGACACGCAGAAAATCCTTTGACCTGAACATCCTCTCAATACAGAAAGACTGAACCAAATATTAAAATAACTTTCAATTTTAACATCACCCCTATTATTAAAACGGCACAATCACAGTTTTTTTCATTTTAAAGGTACCCTACCAAAATTGGCCACCTCCTAAGTTAACCTTTTTTTTACTTATTTATTTCATAAATCAAAAGTTTCATTACAAAAATAAAGCATTTAAACGAATTAAATACTGGGTACCATGAATTGAAAATAATGTCAGTCGAGAGAGAATGAGCTACATTCTCTCTGGTGTCAGTATATTCACTGATGAGGATCTTTACAAGAATCCTGATTATCATCCTCTCAGCAATATACAATAACAACGTGGAAAATACCACTACAAGTCAGTCCATTGTAGTCACCGTTAGCCAAGGTCAGGGTGATCGTCTTTGAGCAGATCTAAACCTCCAGTCTCCTCTGAGCTTTTGGGATCAGGCTTAATGTCTACCATATGTTCCGAGTTGATAATGATCCAAAACACGTGACCCTCTACCAGCATGGCAAGGGAAGAAACTATGTCTCGTATCCATTCCACTTCTGTAGAGACATCCAATAAGTGATCAAATTACAGCCTCCTGATTTGATTTTGTTGTGTTCTTATCGTTGTCTCTTTATAAGTTTTTTGATCAGGGTAAAAATTTCATAATTTCTAGCTAATTGGAGTTTTCAAATTGCTTTATAAATCGGTGGTGTCGACAATGACCTTCAGAAACATGACGTCATCTCTAATATAGGCATGATTGTTTACTTCGGAAAGGGGACAGAATGTAGGGCATCCACTGGCGATGTTTGTTTCTCTTCTTGGCTTCTGGAATGAGGAGCTGTTGGGATCAGGTCTGAACGAGTCGATCACATGTTCCACGTTGTTCTGGTCCAACAACATGAACGTCACCTTCTGTCTAAATGGCCAGCGGAGAAGGGCATCGTACTCACCACGCATGACCACAAAGAAGACTGAAATGTGTGTACCTTTTCCAATGCCATCACCATTCAAGTAGACGCGTGCGCACATCTTGTATCCATAGCGACTGGTAAAGAAACAGGAGCTGTAAAACGACGTTTCATATCCAGTGACTGCATTTTGTCTTCTTTTGGCGAAGTCAGAAATCTTCCAAACCAAGACTCCATCATGACTAGAAACTTGTTGCTCTCTAACATGTTCATCCAAATCGGTCATCATTACATTACGAAGTGCTAATGAGTGACTCATGGATTCAAACTGTCTCTGTAGTCTATCCACCGTCCCATTCGAAGACTCCTGCCGCCTGGCTATGCTAGAGACTTGACGCTGAAGTTCTTCGTTAAGCTTGTTGCTTTCAACGAACAAAACTTCCAGATCAGCTGTCTTCGCCTCTTCTGTATTTATCCTCTTCAAAAGATCCCCACCTAACGGCGAATCGAACGCAGCCGCAGCTGCGTTTCCTGGTAGAGGGCCATTCTGTCTTGCGCTCTCCAACTGCTGAATTCGCTGCTCTTGTTCAACTACTTTAGATTTTAAATCATCATTTTCTTTTAGTGCATTTTCCACTTGTGTAGAAAACTGTTCCAATTCTTTTTGTGTTGGGAGATTTGCTTCATTCAGTGACAAATAACCAGAATCTCGCTCGTTCCTTCCAACAATTGAAATGAGTTGCATAACGGTCTGAAAGAGGAGCATCAGGTGGACAGAAGTATGTTTTTCTTCATGGATTTTTCTTTCCTGCAACTTCATAGTCTGGAAAAATAATCAAGAGAGAGAAAGAGAGAAAGAGAGTTTTAAGTGATGATGAAAGATTACTTACTAAATTGCAGGAAGGATACGTACTAGTTCGCTTTTTGTTTCAAAATTTGAAAAGCTATTGTTCACGTATATTATGACTAGGTTTGACTGGTGTAAAAGGCGTGTTCATGTTGACCTAGAATATATGAAATAATAAATCAAATGATTTGAACGGCGGATATAGCGGAAGATATGATCTTTGCACTGATCATAATATTCAAGCCACTATGTTTTGGTAGAAAATTTTACTCTTGTATTTGATTCCGTCGCTATTTTCAAATGAAGGTACAGTATAACATTTACAGTGTTTTTTTTTTTTTTTTTTTTAACCATGCTAATCTCTTTTGATACTTGGGAAGTTATCGACTTCTTAATCAACTGAATTAAAATCGTAGTTTCCACACCTTAGTCTCGGGACATCCAATCTGTGTCCAGAGGCAATATGATAGCACTCCCTCGCAATCTCCATTCACTGGATCAATATGGGCAGATATCTAACGGGTTAAGAATAATAATAATAATAAATACTTGTAACAAAAATTCCTCTCTTAATATCTACATCTCGATAAACGGTAGAGGAATTGAAAACAGTCAATAATAATAAATTTATTAATTAATCGCATGATTTTTTTCGTGCAATTATTGGAATAAATATGCACTTGTAAATGTTTCAAAGACCACAATGTTCACTCGCCCTACGGCTAGTGCACTTTTGCTTTTATTATTTCAACTTGCACTCGAAATCAAGTGATGACCTATACAAATACGATAAAATTAGATGTGAGCGATATGTGTTCGTGCATATTGATTGCGACTGCAGCCTCAATAGAACTTTGCCTCATGTAGCTCCAGGTACGGAAATCCGGATTCCAGAATCCGGGAATTTTTTGACCCGTTCTCGGTGGGAGATGTTTGCTTGTGCAATCCGGAATATCACTAACGCTTGGAATTCAGAATCCAAACTCCACTGACACTGACTGGAATCCAGTACCTGGGATCCGAAATCTGCGGCTTGGAATCCAGAATCCAAAACTGTCTTGGTTCCCTTACATGTGTGTTGCGAAAAAACTCACCTGAGCGCGAGGAATGGCTTTCCTGCCACACTCTGGACAAACTGTAGGGACTGAAGGACACTGAGATTCCTGGTGACCCTGTGCATAAAATATTTCCATAGTATTTCGGTTTTGCTTCAGTAACAATTCATTAACCTCATGATTGATGATTCATAAAAAATCATTTGGCCGGGTTTCGAGGGTTTTTAAAAACGGCAACCAGCCACTATGACCAGATTGCAAGAAACAAGAAACTATAAGATAGGTTTATCGAAAGGGTCAATTTTAGTAGAGTTACGACGAAGAGAGTGGACTGCGATCAGTCTCTTATTTTTTCTTTGCAAAGTTACTGCGCGCGAGACCTAGGCACGCGAGTGGCGAATTAAGCAACGTCGTGGTTTGCAATCGCGCTGGATGAGATAAGAACTAAACGGATGTTAAGAGAAAAGGCGGACGCAAGCAGTCTACGTACGAAGAGAGCAGTGGTTTTCTAGAAAAAGAACGGAATATTACGACGAAACCTAAAGCTGCATTATGAGGGAAGGATGCATACCTGTTGTTAGGAAATGGGGCTTAAAATATAACGATGACAACAACAACAACAACAACAACAACAAACGAACAAACAAACAAACAAGAAAGTAAACCTTAATAAAATTACTTAACACGTACCTCCATGAAAGCAACTTCTACCAAAGCGTGGCAGTACTCGCATTTTTCCATTCTAAACTTGCATGAGTGCTCAAGATGTTCCACCAGATTTGCCCTAGACACCAGTTCCCCGCATTTTGAATGGACACATGGTACTTGAACGTATGCACAGACTGCTTCGTGATCCTGAAATACGTATGCGTACTTTAGTGACAATTTTATTAAGTTGAACTAGTGATGTACACGATGTAAGCAAATGTCGAGCGGGAAATCGATGAAAGGGTTTTCCTCTACGGGGTACGTCTCCAAGATTATAATTAGGATAACGGGACATTTGATGACCGTAAAGTATCGTTCAGGCTTTGACAAAACACAAAAAGCGTAAAAAACCCTACTGTTTTGTATTGGACGGTCTGAAGCGGGCACTGTGATATATACTAGTAATAGTTGACACTACAGCTGCCCCCGCCCTGTATATAGTATTCTTGCTCCTTGTGTAGCTCTTTGAAATATACCGATTCATAATGAAGATGTTCACACATATTCCACAATAGGTAAGACAAATACAGGAAATAAACGCGAGGTTCGATGCACAGTTTCGGTTCGATTTACCCAGCTTTTATTAAAACATTCTCAGTTTCGAGAATACTTTATTCTAAAGCATAAGAAAAGATTTAATGAGAAGTTGATTTTTCGCTATTTCTATTTCACTTTTTACATTTAGTTCATTTTACTTGCCGGAAAGGAAGCCTTAGAAATTAAAAGTACGTTTGATCAATAATTCACTCTCGCGCAATCTAGTCGTATTTTAAACTTTATAGCGGAAGAACATGTGTGAGCAGGGAATAAGTCAGCACAGAATTTGATGGTCGGAGAATTTCTGTAATCGTCCATCGTTCTGCTAGTGATAAGCTAGCCGTTGAATCATTCACTCGTCTTGCTTGGTTTGAGCCGAGTTTTATTCCGGTCAAAGAGAGAGAAAGAGTGTCTGGCAAGGTTCAGCTGAAGGTTTCCAATCAAAGATTTGTGACCTCGTGTCTAGCAAAGTCACTTAGTGTTAAAATATACACTGTTCTACGCAGCTTATAACTTCATCTGCGCCTAACGAGTGTCTTTTCGTCTATAACTTTCATAACAACGGCTCCACAGAATGTCACTGATAATACGTAACGTAAAAGAGTACCTAAGTATGACTGCACAATTAATGTCACAAAATCTACCTATTTTAAGCTGTTCCATCGGGATTTGTTGTGTTTTACGTCATCCTAACCATTTCGCACTTGGGGGCGCAAACAATAGAAACGTCATCATTACCTACCGATTCCTCGCGGCCCCTGTTCGAGCAAATCTAGATTTTTTCTATATTGACTGTATGACTGTATATTTCAACTGTAAGTACTTCCCTTAATATACGCGCGAGTTACTAGAGTGCCTCCTCGGGATTTCTCCTTCTGGGCTTCTATGTGCACTAGGGAAATTTAAATCCCTTGAAGAGAGTCACGCCCCGCCCGTCCCGCGGCTCCCCAACCCCTAACCCCCACCCCTGACAAAACAAATCACTGGTTTGCACGTAACGTCAGGGCGGCCATGATGGTGATCAAGAACAATTTAAATTTTTCTCTCCTGTGGGAACTTAACTCCATTTCATAGGTAAATTCTTTGAGAAAAAGTTCTATTATATTGCCCATCAACATGGCTGCCTTTTCACGTGGCTGCAAACCAAGAAGAGCTTCGCTCACAGTGTCTTACAATCTTCACGGCTTGATAAATTAAAGGCCATTACTCGAAGTCTAGCGCTCGCAAGCCCGGCTTCTACGGCATAAGGGAGTCCCTGCGCACTTTTCTGAAACAAGCACGATACTAAATAAAAGAGAAGACTAATTAAAAAACTGATAAGTTCTTCAGTGTAAACATTAAAAAGACTGCTACCGTAAATTACCTCTCGTTTCTTTAATTCGTCTTTCCAATCGCAACCCTGATCATGATGAACACAATGAACCAACATTGACTGGATTTCACGCTCAATAAATCTGTCCATGAACACCTATAATATCATTAAAACTTCAAGATTAATACTGATCTCCCAAATAAAGAAGGAAAATGACAAAATGAGAGGCAAATGAATCCGGTCTCCCTAACGGTTCTTAGTTCAAAGTTCTTCGTTCAAGCACATGTTTTCATGTACAAGATTACATTAAGTCGCAATCTGGTGGAAGGCATTGTGGTTTTCAAACTTTTTATAAATTCATATCAGTTTTATAAATTTCAAATGATTACCTATTAAAAAACCAAAAAGTAACATTTTTTTAGATGGAAGTAGAAATAGTAGACGCCGTGCGTGTAAATAAAAAGGGAAGTTGGAAGTGTCAGAATGAAAAGTAGAGGAGAATATTGACACTTTCAAAAGACGGGAAAAAGTAAAACGGAAAACATTTCCTGAACTGTAATCTTGCTAACAATATATTACAAATAAAAGGCATTTCTGAGGGGAAAATAGTTCAAAAGTAGATATGACGTTAGAAAACGAAATAAACTCACCTGCTCTTTGATAATATCTGATCTATCAATAACACACTTCCCATCTTCATGGCTAAATCAGAGATAAAAAAGAGTGAAATAAACGCTTTTTAAAATTCATTTAACCATTCATGACCTTAGGACAACAGCTCGGTGAGTTCTAACCTTGAAAAGATTAAATTTTAATTTTTTCTATAAATAAACGGGTTATTTGTTAAGGAATCAGTATCGGCATGGACTACAACGATTATCAAAAAGTTGACATTCGGTGACTTTCCGGAGCTATTATATATATCTTCGCTCGTTTTCAACAAACCGCGTTCAAAATTTACATCTTCACTAATTTTAAGGCGTTACCTTATTAGTTGAAGCCGTTTTGACGTAAAAAAGAAAAAACACACACACACACACACATACACAGGGAAGGGTCTAGTATAACCAAACTTCTTTCGTCAAGCATGTTTTAGTTGGTTGTCGAGAGAGATATAATTTTTTCATTTTGCACTATTAATATAATTCGTCCTGCATGATCATATTAACTCACTTTAACAGGGTATCCACGCATGTTTTGCAGTATCTGTGACCACACTGTATGGTCTGAACAGCTTCTTTGAGAAGACCCTTACATTTAGGGCACAGACTCTTTTCGTCAATTCTCGATTGGTCAACTGCAGCCAAACTGTAGCCAGGCATGATTTAGCTAGGGATAAATGGTACGAATGAATAAGTAACTTTGTGACAGGCCTAACGGCGGGGTAAGAGCTTTTAACAGCACTTTTATAACTTCCCTAGAAATAACCGAGCTAAATACCTTTTTCCGTGATAGAGAAAAAGGAAAAAATTAGCATATTTTCACGCCGCACGAAAAAAAATATTATGCGTCATAATTCATACTAGGGGAAGTCACGTCCCCGTCTACCATTACACTAAATGGCTATCAGCAAACTCTTTCGTTCTTTATACTTTCCAGTGCGATAAACAAATAGAAAACGAAAGATTTATTAATTATAAAAAGCAAAAACTGATTTTTCCTCTATAATTCTTTCGCTATGAAATAAGTTCCTAATGTATACAAGTAGTGTAAAATTTACCCGAGTAACTGCCAGTTTACACAATACCTGTTTAGCAGATTCTCTTACATGGTTAAAAAAGAAAGAAATGGGGAAAAAATAAAAAAAAAAAGTTTAAAGGACAACGCCGTCCACCGGGCTTTTCCCTTGAACAAAGGAAAAGGATGCTCAAAGGTACTTACCAAAAGTAGTATGAAAACTAGAACACCGGCCGTATACGTTCACGGATATTTGGCAATAAAAACAAGTTAATGAGTGTGTGCAAGCTGTCCTCTATAAGTACACTTTTTCCTAATTTTCTCAATAGTTCAAAACTGAAGAGGTTAACCGGGCACAGGTAATTCACACGAGTTACCTAACCTGTGTAGGTGGAGGTTTGGGCGTGAATAGCTGCGCGAGCGGGGTGTCACAAGTTGAATTGTTGGCGCTCCCAAACAAAAACCATTAACGATTGACCTGATTTCGTCAGTCCGCTTTAACAAGCGTGCTCACCATTACATTTAGCGTAAAGAACCGGATGGAATGACCGCTCAACAATTGCAGGGGCTTTTCCAACCGAAACGGGGGTGATGCATAACTATTTTCAATTCATCCTTCCGGCTTTTGTTGAGGTAACTGGAAGGGTGGCAATCAAGTGTCCGTGTTTGTGATACGAACAGAGAAATGAGCTAATGGTAGAAAGTGCTCCCATTTCCCGTTCCGGAAGGGAAAAATGCTGGAATTTTCGGATAATTGCTGCGTGATTCAATTTCCTCCAATAATTCCGGAGTGAGTTTTATTATCAAATGGCAAGTACTTCAACACTCGCCGTGCTAACATGTAGCTTTTGCGAACACCAGCAAAATACCGGTGTCTAGATTTAAACCATCCCGCGCCGGTGAGTCCGATACAGTCATATCATTCTATCACGGCTACGACATTGTAATGTCTCTTCTTATCGAAAACCGAAAGAACAACTAGGCCTGCCCAGTAACAACGGCTAGACGAACAGAGGGTGGTCAAGTTCGAGTAAGTTCAATAGGCGGTTTGATTGAGTTAGGAAAACGAACTTGATCGAACTCTCACGCAAATTTTTTGGTTCGATTGTGTTCGATTACCGAACTCAATCGTTCGATTAAGTCCGATTGAGTTCGATGAAGTCCGATCTATAACGAGTTTTTTAGTGTTACATGGTAAGCAACACTGAAACAAATTACAAGGATAGGCACTAAGACACGATGAACCGTACGCGTAATGTAGTTTCCACCAGCTAATATTTTAAGACTGATAGCTGGTAACATGCCCGCGAAGGTGAGATTATCATTGCTTGTCTATGTAAGGAACGAATTAAAGAACAGGAATAACTGTTGTTGCTGGAGTTGGATATTACCATATATGACGACAGAACATTGCGACTTGTTCAGGTTGTTGTGGTGTCAGTAGACTGTTCACAATAGTAAGCGGCGATCACTGATTCCCCAGGGCATTTGAACTCTTTTACAACGGGCCTCTTCAAGCGTGTTCAAATGCGCTTTATTTTGCCTTTCCCAAAGGAGAAATGTTTTACGGGTTGTGGATTCGAGAAATAGAGTTACTTGGTGAATCCAAATGACGTACTATACGAATTAAACACTCGATGTTCGATCTCGTTTTTTGCATTAATACTGTGGTAAATGCATACTTACAGAGCTTTCTTGTCGAACAAGCAATTCCTTTACAAAAGCTGCCCTTAAGTTCAAACTCCTCCATCTCAATCTGAGAAGGGTCGTCGTCTATATATCGTACCACGTCAGACCGACAGAGCTGAACAACGTCTGCGCATGTGCATAGACGGGAGAGGTCTGGGATCTAACCTAGTATCGTTTTCAAAGGGTTTTTCAAAACATCCTCACTTTTTGGCGATTATTAAGGTGGATTCTGAATATCTAAGGTTCTCATTTAAACTAAAGGTAGATTATTTCATACTTTATTGAATTCTCGTTTCTACCCTTGTAATTTTTCTTCTACTTTTTTCTATGAACAAAAGAAGACGCACGAACGAAGCGTCCCTTCAATAATAGTATCGTTTGCAAAGGGATTTTCAAAACATCCTCACATTTTCCCGATTTTTAAGGTGGTTTCTGAATATTCAAGGCTCCCATTTAAACTAAAGGTAGATTATTTCATACTTTATAGAATTCTCGTTTCCACCTTCGCAATTTTTCTTCCGTTTTTTGCTATGAACAAAAGAAGATGCACGGACGAAGCCGAAAACAGTTCTTTCATTCGAATGTGTACATTTTCAAGCGTAAACACATGAAAGTACAGACTATCAATATGTTATCAGTTCTAAGAAATCGTCCGGACATCATATCAGTGTCAGTATTAAAGGTACATTTCATTTATCTTTGTTTTTCCTTGAATGATGGTCTTTTAGTTATTTTTCTTGTTATATCTCGCTTGGTTTCACTATAAGAACTGTAAGAACACAAAACAATCACTGAGGTTTCGAATTCAATCAAGTTCTTTCTTCCAAACTTGTTTCCCTTTATGACTCATTGTTAGCTCAGCTCAAAAGAGCTATTATAAATTTTTGTATATGACAACAGGCAAAATTAATGTTGAAAAGAGTAAATGGGTAAGTAATACAGTCGATGCTTGCTGGTAAAAGTATTAATGACTTGAAGTTCTCTAAAAGGCTTCATTACAGGGAGAAGAACTTTCATTTATTTTTCTCTTCAAAGTCTAGATCTTCATTCCTTGATTCTTCTGCTTCATTCAATCCTGTCATAAATGGAAAACCTATAGTTAATACGAAAACTCACATAAAGCTGAGCCAACTTGCGATTGTTTCTCAAAACTTCAACAGCTTTAAACTTTAAAAGTTGATTCATTCTAAGCTTAAAGGTGCAAATTAAATTTTAAACAAACTTAACTGAATAAATACTGATTCTACAGCTCGACCAGCGCCTCTAAGCCGGCTAGAGGTACGAAAAAGCTTCTTTCATTGCACTAAGATTTGTAACTAAGTTTATGACTTTCATGACTTCTTGTGTCTGATGGTATCATCGCGCTCAAAGCCGGCTTTCTTGCCACCAAGAAACGGTCAACAACTGCTATCGCTCGGCCTACATTTCAAAGATTTGCACCTCCTTAACCAGAATAAAGTAATGTTTAAGTAAATCGTTTACGTACCATCGAAGAAAAGTCGCCCAAACTCCAGCACATTGCTCTTTTTTAATTTCTCAGTCATCTTTCTGCAAACTTACTGACGATCTGCGTCAAAACAATGAAAAACCTTCGCCGGGACGGTCAAAAACATTTTCCTTGATCCCTGGATTACGTAACATTTCTTTCCATTAGTTGCATTTCTAACGTATTCGTAGAATTTCTCCTTCGTTGGCATTCGCAAATATGAGTTTGGATGGTCGAAGATAAAATGGTCTTGCAAGAATTTCACTTTGCCCGAGTGCTTCGCGCACGGGCTAGACAAGTAAACAAGTGATGTCACGGACATGCGTAGTACGTTATTCAGCCCTGTCCGTCAGACCCGCAGATCGATAAACTTGACACATCCGGTTCAAATTCCCCACCCTACCCAAGCAAAGGTCAAATTCTCCTCTTCCCTGCCCACAACTGAAAGTCAAATGTCCGGGGGATGCTGAAGTCTCATCTGTTTGAGTGATCGACAAATGCAAATCGGCACAAGCAACAAGCGTAAGCAAGCATAATACGACCAGGCAAAATGTCGCCCTCGCGATGAGCCGCTCTCGAGGTAATGACATGAGTTTTGAAGGGTTTCAGCAAATGCAGTTATTTAGCCTCATTCCCAGGCGCCTAAGAACTTGATAGTTTATGGAGAATTCAATTGTTTCAAGATGTCTTCAGATCCCCTGTACAATTTCATTTTACGCCGACCCCAAGTGCTCCTAATTGACTCTCGAGTCCAATTTGGGGGGAAATCCAAGGGCTTCTTCATGAGTTTGCTGAACATTGTACCGCCGCCACACCGATTTAACATCTCGATATTCAGTGACGACATTAAGATATGTAATATAACAATAAAGATAACGATCCTTCTGGTTAACCCTCGGCAATCTGCATGATCATGGGAATCGAAAATCTGGGGCTGCTGGATCCTATACTTTCTACTTTCTATTGCTACTCCCGTGACGAGCGGGTTGTTTTGTCATATTGGGTTATATCTACCTTATAAACCGCGTTCTATATAAGAAATAATAATAATAATAATAATAATAATAATTCTTTGCTTTTATAAAAAGCTTTTTTAAACAACAAGTAAAACAACAAGCTAGTAACTGTACTGTTGCCCATCGAAAAATGTTATTTAATATTTTGTACGTTTCCTGGCGTAACCGATTCGTTTCAACACGGTGATATTTAAACATTTACAGTGGAAATATTTAAAACATATTTGTCAAATAATAAGTAATAAAGAAAAATAATGATAAACTGTTGCGAAGTAAAATGGTGGAAACGACACCTGGACTCGTACTGAAAACCCACCACTGGAATTTTTTAAAATTAAAAAAAAAAAAAACTATTTTCGGACAATGAACTTTGGCGTCGAAGAACACCACGTTCACCTTCTGTTTCATTCGACAATTGAAGGCTTTTTACCTGATGCAGCCATGATCTTTGTGCATCGTCATTGTAACTCGTCAAACTAGGCCCAGACATTTAATTTTTATCAAATATAAACATCTGAGGAGCTTATGATGGGCTTCTGGTCTATATGAAATTGGCGGGGATGCAAAAGTAATTGATTTTCAAGGATCCAGATCGATCAAACCTAATCTGATTGGGATGCCGTCACGACTTGTTGTAGCACGGATACGGATCTGTACGACAAAATTCAGTATTTACTCATCATGCTTCAAGAAAGCAGTTTTATCAGCCATGACAGTAATACCACTCGTAGCGGTCGAACAACTTCGTTTCAAAAAGCTTATGCAAACACTGATCATGTCTTAATGTAGAAAGGGGGAACCCCCTACAATGACATCATCATACGGTCATGAACTATTTTTGAACCGTCACTCACTCATCTGGGAGTGAGCTTCTCTACTGCGGACGTCGTTTTCGTCGCGCGATTTCCATTTTTAAACGAAATCGTAGCTTACGAAGAATGTTGTTTTGCGTGGTAACACGCTACTGGTGGGCTCGATCAACCACGACGAAGACGGAAGCGAGAAAAAAGTAATAGTAATTTCATAAACAAACAAAAAAAAAGCTCTGAACGTGCAGAACACTTTTTGTTATCTTTCTTTGCAGTCATCGCACTACCAACGCTTTCAAACTTGACCAAAATTGCAACGCGATTGTTACTCTTCTTTTAATCAACATTGATCATCTCGACTTCATACCCAAAGTCCTGAGCCGTTTTTGGGCAGCATTGTCCATTTGCATATAAAATTTAAAACTAAGGGGTAAAATAGCTGGCAGTCTTAACTTCATTAAAGTACTAAACGTATAAGTGCTATAAATAGCAAGGCATCGGAGGCCCTGGCCTAAAGAGCGCTATTTTCAGTCAGGTTCATATAACGGTAAAATATTGCTGGGAAACAATTAAGTTCGCGTTTCTTCTTCTGCCTCTCTTTTATTTTCCTCTCCGTGCTTATCTTCTAGTTTCGAAAACTGTCGAAGGAGATCCGGTATCGAAGTTTCAAAGCCATAGGCGGGATGCAGAAACCAACGAGGAACGTTTCAGACGTTTGGACAGACTGGCTATATAGAGACTGGTCAGAGGGGTCATTCACAATTTAAGCCATAAAATACTATGATAGCTGCTATAAAACTACAAGTTATTATATAGCATTCAGTAGAGAGAGCCATCATTTAGAGATGCATGGGCTCTGTGTGTGTAGTGACTTTTATCAGTAAATTGGCATCTGCAGCATAGTTCTTCTAACGGAAAATTACGTATAATCGGTACAGTGTTGCGTGATGTACTTAAAATAGTGGACGTCGGTAAGGTAAAGCATAACATTAGCTGTAATTTTGACAGATAAAAGACAAAATTTTACCTACCATTTGATCAAGCGATAAATAAATCCTTTTCTGGGCTAACATAAAATTCATAAAAAAGTTGAACCGAAATGCATCTTGCTTACAATTGTACCGTTTATATTAGTTTGAAATCCTATCTTAGTAGCGCGTGATAGAGGCAATCAATGCCTCTCCCTGAAACGGAACCCAGGTGGAATCACGTGGTCCGTTCCAGGGAATGAGTCGAATTAGACATGACCCGGAAGCTGTCATAATTCTAGCAAATTTTAGTTTTACTCCTTTTGCAGCAATATCCGCCTGTGCACGACTACCTTCAGGTGGATGAACGGTCAATTTTCTTAAAGAAATAGAGCCCAGTGCGGTTCGTCACTTTTAAAACTACAGTAGTTTGTTCACGTTCATCAGAAGGTCAACAAGTAATCCATACGGGGCAGTGACACGGTCATCAGACAACGCTGTTTGTACTCGCAAGTAATAAACGTGTCAACTGACGTACTCGTGATTTGTAAAAATATGGACCCCCCTTTCTTTAAAAAAAGGATTTGACGTGCGTTCTTGACAGGTTGTTTCCAAGGGGTTGTTTTCGGCAACAAGGCTGACTCAAGCTGGTAAAATGGACAAAATCGTTCAACTTGTTTTGCCAGAAGTTGTCACGCATTAAATCAGGTCAGTTTAGGCTGCAAAAAGTTGTTCGAAAAAATAGAACTACTCTCTACTTTTTGTAACTGACGTTTTGGAATCTACAGCCACTGAACCTAATGTGTGGCGAGAAAGGTTTGATTTTTGGGTGGTAAAATGCGCAGCCGATCGCTATTCAACTAGTTTTGAAGCAATAATGCAAAAAAAGGTGCCCGCCCGTTTCAGCGAAGCTTTAGAAATTGAATGCAGAGCAAGAGACTATAAAGGGAGAGGGCATCTCCCATATACACCCTATTCCATAGGTAATTCGGCTCGAGTTGTTTTTAACACCACAGATCTCAAGGGGGATTAGACAACAGCCACTCACTTAGCGCGAATGTGTTCCGCGTGGATACCCACGCTGAGAGCCACGCGTCCTTCACGAAATGACGCAGAACAAAATGGGGGAAGACGCGGAGAGCGATTTTACTATTCCTTTTGTCGACGAAAACGACTACAGCGAGATTTCTGCGAAAGCTGTGTCAGCGAAACCGAAATTAAAAAAGAATCGCCCTTCCTCTCTTGTATAGAGCTAACAGTAGAGCAGAGAAATCCTTAACACACTGAATATTCTCTCAGGATCATTCATAATTTACAGTTTGAAGAGAGCAATTTCTGGTTTGATGTTTATTTTTTTCAGTCTTTATAGCGATTATTCCTACCCAATTAATTTGTCAATTGTAGGCGAACCCTCCTAAAGCTGAATTTCAAGGGACCATATTCAAGCTCAGAAAGAGAAATAAAATTTCGTCGTTGCTTATTTACGTCCTCCATAAAGGCCGTCGATAAAACCCGGAACACGGAACATTCCGGAACATGCCGGAACATTCCGGAACATCCCGGAACACCCCGGAACATGAAAAAATAAAAATAATTTTCCTGAAAAAAAATATAATAAAATAATAATAATATTTTTAAAATAATTTTTGTAAAAATTAATAATAACGTAAAATAACAAAAGAAAAACGAAAAATAATCAATTAGTCAAGAAAAAGAAACTGATTTCCTCTGTGAGTATGAGAAAACAATATTTTGTCGCAACAAATTAAAATTTGTTGGGCGAGTGAGGGTTCATGCAAATGACAGTAACGAGTGCAGGTTTGCTTCTAAATTCAAAACATATTAAAATGGGTCGCGAGGAGGGGACTTTTTTAAGCTTTCCTCACACAGTTACCTCTTGTAATTGTCTGCCGTGAGTTAATTATTTGGCGGTTATCCATTTACGGTTATGCAATGGTCTGAAATGTCGGTGCAGTATTTCATGTCAAGCCAAGTCGGTAAGTAGCTCATTTCAAGCCAACATATAGTCTCCTTACTTATAACCGACATTTGCTTACTTGAGGTGCTTTGATTTCTTTGAACATGAATTACTTACAGACTAGGCGGCTCTGTGAACTTAAGAAGAGTATAGGGGCTCCTGTCTTTGGATTTTAGTGGACAATACTCACATTCGTAGTAGTTTCTATACTGTTTACAGTCAGCATGATATTTCAGAAGTCTCCTCTAGTCGCAGGAGGAGTTTGCGGGGAGACGGCTAAAATTCAGGCTAACTGATAACTGCCACTGCAACTATTCACGGTGAATTTGAATCTTTAATTTAATTATCCAAGTCCAAAGCGACAAGCCCCTAAGCTCTTCTTTCGGTCGCAAAGCCGTAAATGGATAACCGTTAAACCACATGGCAAACCTTTACAAGAGGTGGCTGTGTGACGAAAGCGTGAAAACCCTCTCCTCGCGACCCATTTTAATATATTTTGAATTAAGAAGCAAGCCTTCACTCATTAGGGTGACCAGGGTGAGTAGGATGACTGGGGACTGTCATTTGAATGGACCCTTACTCGCCCACTGCAGAAAATTCATTGCAACAAAATATTGTTTTCTCGTACTCGGAGATGATACCAGTTTCTTTTTCTTTCTTTCTTGGTGTGTTTCTTTATTTTTCGTTTTTATGTTATGTTATTTATTTTGTTATTATAAATTTTTGCAAAAATTGTTTTCTATCTATTGTTCCTTTTATTATTTATTATTATTATTATTATTATTATTATTATTATTTAGTTAATTAATCATTTTTTCATAAAAAAATATTTTAATTTTTTCATGTTCCGGGATGTTCCGGAATGTTTCGGAATGTTCCGGGATGTTCCATGTTCCTGGTTTTATCGACGGCCCTCCATAAAAGGCGAAATTAGGCATTTTCACGTCGTAGTCGTGCAAAAACGGGAAAGAAATGAACAAAAAAGTGTGTTGCACGTGCGAAGTTGTTGTTTTGCTAATTAAACCTATTGTTTTTTTGACGTTCTAGTTGTCGTCCGCGTCGTTGGATCTTAAACTCCCTAAATTGTACAAACGACCGGTTTTAATAGACCGGCGAAATTTCTCATTTTATTGAAGCACTGAGTTTACGACAACCTCGAGTTAAACTGATTTCACGGGTTGTCAAAGAGTCCAGCGATTCCTTTTTCCCAGGTAAGCGCCGACTCATTTCGCTTCAATATTCAGGAATGCTCTCGATCTTTTTACGCTTTCATTGCCTCTCGCCCGACATGTTTTGCACGGCGTTTGGTCATGCGAAACCTCCACGAAACATCCACGCCTCGCGCGAGGTAACTTTATCCCGATTCTAAAAATAACTCGAGACGAATTACCTAAGGAATAGGGTGTATATGGGGGATGCCCTCTCTGTCCCCTTTATAGTCTCTTGATGCAGAGGTAATTCTCTAGTGTTCATGTCGTATATCAATAATTAGGATTTTATTTCAAGCACGTGGAGCGGAAAGAACAAGAGGCTTTTTGCTTTAACCAGCCACTTACGGGTGCTTCAATATGCACTTTCGACTACCATAAGCTTTAAATTTTAAAATGAAATTTGCTAGGATTAAGAGGCTCTCGATCTTAAAAAGTTATGCTAGATTTTGTTACATTTCAAAATTGTAAGCTACAACGTTATATTCTCAGATCGTATTCGTGCCCTTACGTCTCTTTTTCTTTTTTCCTTTATTCTAATTCAGACATTCAATACGTTGTAGTGAACCAAATTAAGCCTTTTTTAAGTAAATGAGACCGTGTATCAATAACATTTACATATATATTTTTTTTTTCGCTAGCCGGCCTTTTATCGAGTGAAACGTATCTAGCTGTCGGGCGTTTTGGATACAATTAATTGTCCGTTGTCTTTTTTTTTTTTGTTAAAGCTACGTTTCTATAATGTTCATTGAAGAAGCTTGGATCATCAGTCATTACGTAAGTTTAGGACATCAACAACTTGACCAGGCGAATTCCAAATCGATTGGGAAGCCAGTAGTGTATCCTGAAATAGATATCAAGGGGATCAAACATTATTACCAAAACCTCGTCCACAGGTTTATATTTATTATGTTTTTTGTTTGTTTTTTTGTATGTTTAGCTATTTGAAGACTGAATTAAGCGCAGCACACTAGACATTTTTTTTCTTTTCATTATTATTCGTCGTTGTGGTTGTTTTTTTTTTTTACCCAGCTTTCCGATGTGAAGAGTACAAGTGTAAGTTGGGTTAACAGTTGTGCTATTGTTTTGCTCACAGTTAGAAGTATAATAGCAGCATGAAGGCAAAGCCCATCGAAAAAGTTCTGTAAATTGTTTGCTCCTCTTCGCTTGTTCAATAGAGCAATGCAAAAATTTTTGAGTTGATTTTGAAAATACCTCGAAAAAAATCCCAGTATCCCGTTAGTATTGCCGCTTCGACTTCGCAAATAGCATACCGTCCATGAAACGAAGCATCTTTGTCAACATGCGGTTACAGAACAACGACAAACTTGACCAATTTTTTTTACACTTTGGGGGCTCCTGATCACATTTCTGAGATATGAGCAAATCATTACTGTGCAAGGCGGAACTATAAGATGGCCAATCCGATGAAATAATTAAAAATAAGGTGAACAAATGGAAGGTCTACTTTTACCTACTCAAGCTGGTTATTCTTGGTGTTCTTGCGGGCGGGCACGATTCCCGCTCACAGTTGCATTATTCCTCCTCTCCGCTGCTTCATCGCTTGGTTGCTGCCTTTCTACCCGAGCGACCTGAATTAAGGCTCGTTCAGGGGCTAAGTCCATGTTTACAACACAATAGAGAACCACCAGCATCACGACCAAGAAAACTATAAGCACCGCTTGTTTTGCAGCGTCTCCATTTGGGCAGGCCCCCCAAAAAAGCTTCGCCTGTTCTTCTATCTCAGCATCCTCGACAGAAAATAATATTCTTATTTCTCCGGTTATTAGCATAGTTAGGTATGCTTTGATCGTATATTGCAGGTTTGAGCAAGTAAAAAATAAAAAAAGTTTGGCCGTCACTCCGAGACATCAAAGAGTTGTCGCCGGCTCTAAATATTCTGAAAAGAACAGGTAGCAAGTCCCTAGAGGTATTCAGCTTTCATAAGACTGAATTTTTAAA